CCCTGAAGATCCCGCCTGTATCCGCATCTCAAGGACAAGGGCCTCCAGCGGCCACCGTGCAGGCGGTGCCGCCCTTGAAGGCACAGTCCGCTCCTTGGCACTGGGGGCGGGCGCTGGGCTCAGCCAGCAGGTGCCCCGGTGCTGGCTCTGGGCTGCGTCTGCACGGCCCGCACCCGCACGCACACGCTGATCAGAGGGTTTGGTTTTTTCCCTGCGCTTGTTTGGGGTGTCTGTGTCTGCTGCTGTGTCCTGTCTTCCATATCTTCTGGAAGCCGGTAGCCTGACCTAGAGCTGGAGGGCTTCCATTTCTGTCAGGCTTTCAGGCTGGTCTGCCTTTGAGCAGGACCCTCGGCCGTGTGGCTGTCCCTGGAGGGAGGGCTCTGGACGCATGTGCCAGCCCCTCGTGGGCACGCCCTGCCCACCCCTCAGCTGGTGCCACAATAAGAAATGAGTCTCCTAGAGTCACCCAAAGGCAGTTGGTGAGGCTGGGGTGCGTGTGTGTGGATGTGGGCCTGTGCCTGTGTGGTTCCCCCCACACATATACTGTTCCTGTGTACCTGTGGCTCCATCTGCGTGGGGCTCTGGGTCCTTTTGGTGGGAAGCGGAGCCCCGGGCCTGGACAGGTCACCACCGGGACCCACTGTGCCGGGACTCACAGCAAAGTGTGCTGGCTGAGAGCGGGTGGTGCGCCTGCTGCTCTGGGTTAAACGACTGACTGACCACACGGACGTGCTGGGAACATGCACGCCCAAGTCTGTTCTTGTTGAGCCCATTTTGTTTTGTTTTTTTTGTAACACCAAAACCATTTTTTGTCGGGGTGTAGCCACTTAACAGTGTTGTTCAGGCGAACAGTGAAGGGACTCAGCCATATGTATCCATGTATCCATCCTCCCCCAAGTCCCGCTCCCACCCAAGCTGGCACATAACGTTGAGCAGAGTTCCATGTGCTTGCAGTAGGTCTCTGTTGGTGATCCGTTTTAGGAGCAGCATGTACATGACGTTGGGACAGTTTCTCCTGAGCAGCCTCTGATAGTTCCCACTAAGTAGCTCAGCCCAGACCCTGAGTACCTCCCTCATGTGGCCCTCAAAAAGGGTGACCACACAGTCGACCTGCCACTTTGAGGATAGTGGGCTCCTGATGATGGCGGCGGGGCAAGACTGTGGGCTGCGCCTTAGGAGGGAGGCGGGTTCCAGCTTCTCAGGAAGCCAGGCGGTCCTGCACCTGTGGGCTCCGGAGGTGCCCGCCTCCTCCAGGAAATCTTCACAGCCCAGCGAGCTTCCTGCCCGCTCGACTCTCCACGGAGCCCGGGCGGGTCTGCACGTCAGGCCACGTTCCCTCTGCACCTGCCTGTCCTCCTCTGTGGGTGGGGGCTGTGTGGTCACTCACACGTCCTCTTCCTGCTGGCTACAGAGCTCAGACGCCAGGCCCGTGTCTCCTTAGGCACACAGAGTGGGCGCAGGGTGCATTCTCCGGGGGGCAGACATGGTCACGCGTCACGTCCATGGGAGTGACCGGTGAGCCCTGTTGCATTCAGGACACTGTCTGCTCATTAACCAGCAACTTCAGCAGTGGCGCTTGTCCCAGCTTTGGGGCTGCCCCTCCAGGCCTGGTCATCACCCTCTGTTGGTCCAGATGGACTGGGGTGCTGCCTCCGAGCCCCTTTCAGCCTCAGTCTTCAAAGGCCTGAGCTGTGTTGTTCCTCTCTGTCCCTTGGAGGAGCAGCCGTCCTGGGTGTGGCTGCACCGTCTGCGCGTGTCGCTGTGCGCCGTGAGCGCGCTGAGCGTGATGGCCCCCGCAGCCCCGTCCACCGCCGCCGTCTGCTCGCGCTCTGGCATAGGCAGCAGCTCGAGGGTCCATTTGTGGGGACACACAGGGGGCTTTCCAGGGACCCAACCATCTGCACCCTGGAGGGGCTGGCCGCACAGGTCGTAGGAGGAGAAGGTTCGCAGGAGGAGAAGGTTCTCAGCACAGCCCCTGGCGGGCCCTGGACTATATCCTGGACAGGCAGCCCGAGAGGCGGGGCCAGTGATCAAGGGGCGGGGCCAGTGGCCGAGGAGGCGGGGCCAGGCAGCCCGAGAGGCGGGGCCAGTGATCAAGAGGCGGGGCCAGTGGCCGAGGAGGCGAGGCCAGGCAGCCCGAGAGGCGGGTGCAGTGGCTGAGGAAGCAGGGCGTCTGTCTGCCTTCTGTTTCTCTGCAGCGAAGTTACACGATAATAGCAAGGGTGCAAAAGGATATAATATTTAACCTAAATTTTAACGGGAAAGAAAGGCTATGTTTTTAAAACTAGTGGGGTTGAATTTAAGTACTTATAGAAAGTGGTGTTCTCTGTGTGAATTGAGGGAGATAAGGTATTTCTGAAAATAATGCTCCAGGCTCTTCCCTCAAGAAGTTAGAACAGCAGAGTAAACACGAGTGGAAGAGAGAGGCGCCTGTGAGATCCAGAGTTCATACGGCTGAATGGTCACAGCAGAGACGAGGGACAAGCTGCACGGTGGTTCTGTGAGCAGGTTACTAGAGGAGGGGCGAGTGTGTCCTCTCAGCCTGAAACGTCTTAGAAGCACAAATCACGCGAACCACACACCAGGGATCAGGGCAGGGCTCGTGTAACTCCAGGGCAGCGGCTTCACACGATGACCTGACGGTGAATGACGGGAAATCCAGTGGGAAGACACCTGCCAAGGACCCGCAGAAACTTCCTCCCAGGTGAAAACGCTGAAATAACTCCAGAAAGTGGGAAATCCAGGTATACAGTTTGAAAGCATGGGAGCAGCCATCAGAAAGCTCCGTAGGAATTCCCCCAACAAGGTGGGCTGGTGTCTGGCATGGTGTCCTGGCTGCAGGACTCCCCTGAGGACGGCAGGGTGGAGGCGGTGGCCAGGCTGACCTTCCAAAGGCGTGTCTACAGACAGACTCAGCGAGGCCTTCAGAGCCGTGCTTCCCACTGCTGGAACTGAGGCTGTGACACAAAACCCGTGAGGCATGAGGACAGGGTGGCCGATGAGCACATCACCACCCCGCAGGACACGGGGATGCTGTGTGGCAACGTGCACCCTGTCATGGTGACCCCAGAACAGGACCCTTAGAAATGCAGGATGGGGGGCACCTTCCCGCTGACATGGTCCTGGACCGGGACACACCCCCTACTTAATAGGAAGCGTGCCATAACAGAGCTGGGGTCACCGCCCCTGTTCCACCTTGTGCTAAAACTGGAGGTTCGTCCGGGGGACCCCAGCTCCTGAAGGGCAAGGGAGGAGAAGCAGTTCAAAGTCGCTGTGGTTACCGAGAACAAGTTACCATGTGCAAGTTACTGTGCTTGCTCTGTTATGAACAGAGAGCGGGGAGGTGAGGAGGTGAAGTGAAAAGGCCATTAATCTTGCAGACATCTCCTGGAAGGGCCAGTGGTGGGGAGGGCTATGTTAATTCCTTCCTTCCTGTAGCCTTCCATAGGTGGGCAGGGTTCCGCGAGTCAGGCCCTTACGTGTGGACAGAATCCTTTTAGTGAAAAAGCAACAGGAAGCAAAGGTTAAAATAATAAAACAGACCCAACGGGGTGTCAGGATTGGCTCCCATAACAGCAGCATGTGGAGATGGCCCACACCGGCTGCGGACAGTATAGGCCACTTGTGGCTGTTGGGCACCCGGAACATGGCGTGTGATTGAGATGCGCTGTGTCTGGATCCCCGGACATGACGGGAGAGAAAGTAAAGTGGTTCGTGCACACTTTGTTCTGAGTGCCTGCTCAGATGATGGAATTTCAGGGGTGTTGGCTTAAATTAACTGCGTTTTGAACTGATTTCATCACCTTTGTGTTTTTAAACGCGGCTGCAAGAGAAAGTAAAATGACACAGGTGGCTTGTATTGTATTCCTGCCAGGAAGCTCTGGCCTTGGTGGAGACCCCAGGGATCAGGGAAGGTGGCAGAGACCAGTGGGGGCGCGGCAGTGAGCAGCTCAGACTCAGATCTCTTCCTGCCTCTTCTGTCTCTGTGTGCCAAACCCACATATCTCATGTGTATATTCTTGTAAATCATCAAAAACTGCACCTGTTGCTCATGAGGCTCATCACTCCGCCCGCTCCCCATTTTCTAATCAGGCCCCCTGAAATCAACTTCATCACAAAACTCACTGGTCCTGAGCATCCCCTTCCCCTCGCCACGTGGATCCAGAGCGTCTTTTGTGCAGAAGTGCTGGACCTCCCGCACAGCTGCCCATCTACTCGGCCCTTCCTGACTCGGCCTCCACTGACCCCGTGTCCACCCTCACTGCTCCCCCCAGGCTTGTGGCTGTCCCCCTTACCTGCAGAGCCTCCCCTCCCCACAAGCCCCAGCCAGCCTTTCCTGTGTCCTCTGGACCAGACCTGTGGCTTTGGACGCCCCATCCCTGCCGGGCCTTCCTCTCATCCCTGACTTCTTGGGGCTGGGAAGTCCCTGGGTCCCCATCTCCTTGCGGTCCAAGCCCTCTTCTGGCGGCTCTGTGCCTCCTATGGCATGTAAATGTGCCCATGTTGGGGTGCTGAGAGCAGGGGCTCCGGCGGGCTGTCTGCTGGGATGGGCGGGGCCGGGAGTGGGTGGGCTGTCTGCTGGGAGTGGGCGGGGCTGTGTGCTGGGATGGGCGGGGCCGGGAGTGGGTGGGCTGTCTGCTGGGAGTGGGCGGGGCTGTGTGCTGGGATGGGCGGGGCCGGGAGTGGGCGGGGCTGTGTGCTGGGATGGGCGGGGCCGGGAGTGGGCGGGGCTGTGTGCTGGGATGGGCGGGGGCCGGGAGTGGGCGGGGCTGTGTGCTGAGATGGGCGGGGCCGGGAGTGGGCGGGATGTGTGCTCTGATGGGCGGGGGCCGGGAGTGGGCGGGGCTGTGTGCTGCGATGGGCGGGGCCGTCTGCTGGGAATAGGTGGGGCTGGGAGTCGGCGGGTGCCCATTTCCAGGTAGGCAGGCAGCTGGGGCAGGGCGGGCCTGGCGTGAGGAGCCCGGGGGGCAGCCCCCCGAGTGACCGTGCCCTGTCCGCAGGTCGCCGTCTTGACGCTGACGCTCTTCCCTGTCCGACTGCTGGTCGCCCTCCTCATGATGCTGCTCGCCTGGCCCCTGGCGCTCGTGTCTTCGCTGGGACCCGCGGGGCAGGAACCGGAGCAGCCGCCGGCGTTGTGGCGGAGGTGAGTCCGAGTGTGCGGGGGCCCCGGGGCGGTGGGGGATGTCGCAGGGCCGTTTCTCCGTGGCTCAGTCCTCTTCCCCTTCCCGGCACAGGCCACCTTCCCCTGCTGCGCCCCTGCCGCCCCTGCCGCTCCCACTCAGAGGCTCCTTCCAGGACTCCGCGAGCCACTTAACCGCTGTGCGGTGTCCTGAGCACAGGCTCCCGCGTGTTTCCCTGCCCGCAGCCCTCGAGGCCGCGTGTGGGCTTGCTGCCCCGGGTCTGCTCTCTGCTTTTACACCATGGACGGTGGTAAACCACGGCTTCATGTAGATGGACGTATAAATGCAGCTTAACTAAAGCTCCCACTGGAATCTGGCAAAACGAAATCACAGCCTTTTCTTGTGTTAAATACCTAAGGCTGTTCCTTAACTCTCTTTGCTGGGCTTCCCTGGGAGTTCCCTGCCTGCAGTGTCTGAGCCACAGGTTTGATCCCTGGGTGGGGAAGATCCCCGGAGGAGGAAATGGCAACCCACTCCAGTATTCTTGCCTGGAGAATCCCATGGACAGAGGAGCCTGGTGGACTACAGTCCATGGGGTCACAAAGAGTGGGACAGAGCGAACACATGCAAAAGCTGTTCCTTAACTAACTCTTCTCTGTTAGTGAAGGGAAACGAGCCAGTGGGAGGATTTTCCTGGGTGTTTTCAGTGTCTTAAAAGACACCGTTCCTGTTAAAACCAAGGTGTTCACAACCTGCTGTGTCTTTATCTCTGATCTATCCTGAGGGCCCTGGGATGGTTTATTCAAAACAGAAATGTTATTAGTTTTATCATTAATTAATAATAAAAATGTTACTAGTTTAGACGAGCCCACAGCCCAAATGTGCCGCCACCTGTTCTGTGAATAAGGTTTTATTGGGGCTCAGTGCTGCCCACTCATTTCTGCAGCAGCCCAGGCTGCTGCCGTGCAGTGAGGGTTCCTGTGGCCGAGGCCAAGGGCCCACACAGCTTCAGGTGCCTGCTGCCCCGCCCCTAAGATTTACAGACCAGCTCAAGGCCCTCCCCTCTCTCCCGCTGTCTGATGATGCCCTAAGAGGCTGCGATACTGGCATCTCTCCTGGGCCTTAGTTCTCCGCTGCCCACGCACCGTGGTCAGAGCAGCAGTTACCACGTGCAGGGCAGAGATAGCCGGTTGCTAGTCCAGGGTTTTCTGAGCCATGGATGAGCACCGCGCCTGGGGGACCCCTCACCCCCCTCACGGCATTTCTCGTCCGCAGACCGTCCCCAGTTTCTAGTGAACCATGGTCATTCTTCCTCCCTCGAAACCGGAGGCACATGTGGCCGGCTCCACATGTGTGTCCCAGCACATCTGGGCCTTGGAGCCTGCCTGGTGTCACGGAGCTCTCCAAAATGAATGAGCGGGTCCATGAGTGAGTGAGCGAGGGCTAACGAGAGCGAACCAGAGGGGACAATGGAGCCAGGCTTTCTGATCTCTTTGGAAATCATACTTTACCTTCAGAGTTTTTTTTTAACTAAAATATCAGGGAGTAGGGAGTGAAAGTCACTCAGTCGTGTCTGACTCTTTGTGACCCCATGGACTACACAGTCCATGGAATTCTCCAGGGCAGAATACTGGAGTGGGTAGCCTTTCCCTTCTCCAGGGGAGCTTCCCAACCCAGGGATTGAACCCAGGTGAATTTGGTACCAAATGTATAGTCAAGGAAAATAAATCCAGGCCAAAAAGGAATCAGAATTTCAGTTTCTCTGGATTGAAAACCTACAGAAACCAGAGATTTTGTAGTTTTTACGCAAAGGAGTGATTTGTTAAAAGTATCTTTATTCCCTTTTTCCTTCCTCCACCCAGGCTGGGCCCCTTTCCCTCCTGTTCTCACCTTGCACGGTCTCTGAGCCTGTCTTTTCACATAGGTGACTTGGGGCTCCTTGCATTTCCCTGTTCTGACTCCCTGTGGCTTTTCTTGTCTGCAGTGATGCACTTGATCTCATCGGGTGATAAGTGGACCACAGCCAAGTTTAGTTCCAGCAGCCCACTTCACAGAAGCATCATGTGTGTGTGTGTGTGTGTGAGTGTGTGTGAGAGAGACAGGCCCATGATGTGCCCCATGTGCAGAGACATGGGATGGTTTCACGGGAGGTCTGGGGGTTCACGTCCAAAGAGACTGAGCGTCGTTCTGAGTGTATGCCTGTGTGTTTGCGTGTGTGTGCACGAGTGTGTACAAATGCGTGTTTGTGTGTATGCGTGTGTGCATGTGCATACACGTGTTTGTGTACTGGCATGTACCCCAGCAGCACGCACACTCACCGTGTGTGGCTCTTCTACCGTGGCCTCCATCGCCCAGGGAAGGAGTCAGGTGCTCTGGGCCTGTTGGGGTCAGAACCCAGCCCTGAGGGGCGCCAGGCGGCCAGCAGGTCTGGGGCCCCGGCTGGGAGAGGGTGGCAGTCAGGGTCACCATGGGCTTCCGTCACACGTGGCTTCTTGAGGTCACCTGCATATCTGCCTGCTGTGGGAAGTCTGACCTATCCTTCCTGTATTGACTTTTTCCGTTTTATGGAATTCCCAGTTTTATGTTGCCTTTTACCAAAAGAATGATGAGCCCTGAGCGTAGCCTCAAAATTCTCTGTCCCCAAGGTCCCGTGGCCGCGGCCTGGGGGTCGCTGCCCCCCCGGGACCTGGGGACCTGACCCCAGCTGGTGCGTGTCCCTCTGCTGCTCTCTCAGGCGTGGTCTGCATTCCCTGGGCCTGTTTTCTTTTTGTTTGTTTGTTTTTCATCCAAGATTTTCTGGAGTGTCGGATTCTCATCTCAGAAAGAAGATGCGCGGAAGGAGCTCGTTCCCTGTTTGTGTCTGGAACTGTCTTTATTCTGCTCTGTGTGTTGGTGGGTGTTGAGTTAGCTGTGGAACTGACTCAGCGCTTTCGTGACAGCCTGCTGACTACGTGCAGCTTAGATGCTGGAAGCCCACGTGTTCCTCTCTGGGAAATTTCGAAGTCTCTGTTGTTGGAAATTTGGAAACTTTTGAAAGGAGATTGCATGAATCTTTTTTTTTTTTCCCTTAACAAAGTGCATTCTGGTCAGCGCCTTGACGTGGTGCTGGGAGTCTGTGCCTGCCTTCAATCTGAGAAGCTGTTCTCTTTGTGTCTTATAGTTCTGTCCTGGCTTTTTCTGGCATGTTCTGGGAAGTTCCCTCTCCATTTTCCAGCCTTTCTGGGGAGCTGGCGTTTCTGCAGGAGACATTGGAGTCTCACACATGCTTTGTCTTTCTTGTCTTCTGGACGATTTCAGAGCACCCTGGCTCCGTAATGCACTGACTCTTCTGATGCCTGCCCTGGGGTCTCCTCGGACCTTCCTCTTCCGCCCACACATCCGAGTCTAAGGTGTCTCCCTGTGTGAGGAAGGGAGGATGGCGGGGGCCAGGGCGGGTCCCTGCCCTTGTAGATCTGCCCCCTGGCCCCATCCCCGGAATGGCTCTGCGTCTCCAATGTGAACGGTGCCCCTGCCTCAGGAACGGGGTGCTGGCACCAGCTGGGGTCAGCGTTGCCCCTGACGGGGCATGGGCGGCAAGGTGCCGTCCCCGACGGCCACGCTTCTGTTGCAGGGTCGTGGACGTGCTGCTCAAGGCCATCATGCGCACCATGTGGTTCGCGGGCGGCTTCCACCACGTGGCTGTGAAGGGGCGGAGGGCACTGCCCACCGAGGCCGCCATCCTCGCCCTGGCTCCACACTCCTCCTACTTCGACGCCATCCCTGTCACCATGACGATGTCTTCCGTCGTGATGAAGGCGGAGAGCAGAGACATCCCCATATGGGGAAGTGAGTGAGCCCCCCATCCTGCTGGGGGAGTGAGCCCCATCCTGCTGGGAGAGTGACCCCCATCCTGCTGGAGAGAGTGACAGCCCCCAACCTGCTGGGGGAGTGAACCCCCTGCTGGGGTAGTGAGCCCCATCCCGCTGGGCGAGGAAGCCCCATCCCACTGGGAGAGTGACCCCCCCATCCTACTGGGAGAGAGTGACCCCCCATCCTGCTGGGGGACTGACCCCCATCCTTCTAGGGTAGTGAGCCCCATCCTGCTGGGAGAGTGAGCCCCATCCCACTGGGGGAGTGACCCCCATCCTGCTGGGGTAGTGAACCCCATCCCACTGGTAGAGTGACCCCCCATCCTGCTGGGAGAGCGTGACCCCCCCATCCTGCTGGGGGAGTGACCCCCATCCTGCTAGGGTAGTGAGCCCCATCCTGCTGGGGGAGTGAGCCCCACCCCCCGTCCCTCTGGGAGTGAGCCCCTCATCCTTGTGGCAGTGATCAGTGCCCCCCATCCTGCAGGGAGTCAGTGAGCCCCACCCCCTCAATCCTGCTGCGAGACTGCCCCCCATCCTGGTGGGAGTGCTGAGCTCCCCCTCCCTGTCCTGGGGGCACTGACACCCGCCCTGCTGGCTGGTCCAGGTCATGTGACGACAGACACGTCTGCACAGGTCCCACCCCCGTGAGCTAGGCCCTGGACCTGACCTCTGTGGTGTGAGTTCTTCTGATATTACTGTGGTTTTCATTTTTTATTAGCACACAAGTACCCTCAACTGTGAGACGTTAAAGCACTCCTTCAAGCTCTACCAGAGCGTGTTGCCCTTAGCTCACAGAAGCGCTGGAAGCTGGGGCTAGCTCAGTGCTGGGGGTAGTTGCTGGGCTGTACCAGTCAGTGGGCTCACTGCCTCATCCTTCTGGGTGATTCCACCAGACCTCCCTTTCTCCTCATGGCCCTTTTAGCAGCGTCAGGAATAATCAGTGGGGAAGGATGAAATAGTTTCAATTGCATGAAAAAGCAAACTGTTTCAAAACACGTGACAAAATATCACTGAGATCCACTTAGGTTTTTTGAGTACCATGGACCCAACTAGGTAGAATTTTATTCTTTTTAAAAATGTTTTCTTTTCAGTTTTGTAAGAGCTCCAGGAAATAAAGGTCATGAAACATTATTGTTCACAAATAGCAAAAGTACTCGGAAAAGAAGCTCACAGCCCATCTTGGGCCCCATGAGGGGTGGCCCTAGGGCAGCAGGTGGAAACCAACTACTGTGGCCTCACCAGCCCGGGAAGGTAACCGACTTCCACGGCCTCCACTTGCCGTCAGGTCAGAGTGTCTCTCCTGAGAAATACTTCCCACCTTTAAATCCTTATTCAGGGACCAGCGTGTTGGTGGTCGCCATCAGCTTCGGTCGTGGGAGTCCTGAGTGCGCTCCTGCCCACACACACACACACTCTCACACACACAGTCACAAACACACTCTCACACTCACACACACATTCTCACACACACACACACATACAGTCACACAAACACTCTCACACTCACAGTCACACACACAGTAACACACACAAACTCACACACACACAGTCTCACACACAGACACTCACACACTCACACACACACTTGCTGGGGGCTAAGAATGGAGTCTATTTCTTTTGTTTTTAACCGTGCAGCTTGCAGGGTTTAGTTCCCTGACCAGAGATTGAGCCCATGTCCTCGGCGGTGAGAGCACAGAACTCTCACCTCTGGACCCCAGGGAACCCCTAAGAAGGGTCTCTGTGTCCTGGAGTGGGGACCGAGCACCGCGGAGCCTGGGGTTTAAAACGACAGAAACGTGAGCTCACCGTTCTGGGGGCCAGACTCCAAAACACAGGTCTCAGCAGGCTGGTCTCAAAGGAGAACCCATCCCAGGGCCCCCTCCGGCATCCGCTGTCCTTGCCCTCCTGGGTGAACCCGGCTGTGGCCGTGTCCCCTCGCCCTTGTCTCCATCGTCACCTGGCCATCTGTCCTCCTCACGAGGACACCAGTCCCTGAGCAGGGCTCACCCCGTGCAGCATGCCTCATCTTGACTTTGCCACATCTGCAGAGGTCCTGTTTCCCAGGGAAGTCAGCCACAGGTCCAGGGAGGTCAGCTATGGGCCCAGAGAGGTCAGCTGCGGACGCAGGGAGGTCAGCCACTGGTCCAGGGAGGTCAGCCGCGGGTCCAGAGAGATCACCCATAGGCCCAGGGAGATCACCCATAGGCCCAGGGAGATCAGCCACGGGTCCAGAGAGATCACCCATAGGCCCAGGGAGGTGAGCCACAGGTCCAGGGAGGTCAGCTATGGGCCCAGAGAGGTCAGCTGCGGACCCAGGGAGGTCGGCCGCGGGTCCAGAGAGATCACCCATAGGCCCATTGAAGTCAGCCACGTGTCTAAGGAGGTCAGATATGTCAGCTGCAGAGCCAGGGAGGTCAGCCACAGGCCCAGGGAGGTGAGCCACGGGTCCAGGGAGGTCAGCTATGGGCCCAGGGAGGTCAGCTATGGGCCCAGAGAGGTCAGCTGCGGACGCAGGGAGGTCAGCCACTGGTCCAGGGAGGTCACCACGGGCCCGGGGAGGTCGGCCGTGGACCTGGGCTCTCTGGCTCTTCCCTCAGTGACGCAGGTGACCGAGGGCTCTCCAGTCTGGCGGGTGAGCCCGTCTGTCTCTCTCCCGCCTTGTCATCTGTGGCCCGCAGGTGGTGGGGCTCCCAGCCATCCACTGAGGCTTCAGTGCGGTCCCTGCTCCCTTGTGGCTGGCACAGCCCACGGGGAACCTCCGGGGCGGGGGGCCGCCCCCACGGGCCCCACCCCCCACGAGCGCCCCGCCCTCTCTTTCAGCTCTGATAAAGTACATACGGCCGGTGTTCGTGTCCCGGGCAGACCAGGACTCCCGCAGGAAGACGGTGGAGGAAATCAGGAGGCGGGCGCAGTCCGGCGGGAAGTGGCCACAGGTGGGCTGCCTTGGTGTGTCCTGCACGGATTTATTCTGAAAGACCTGAACGTAGGGGTCAGAGGGGAAAGAGAAACCTGAGAGCCAGAACGTGACTTCCCTGGAGACTGGGTTCATTGTGTTTCACATTATTTTTGATAAGTGCAAGGCTAAGAATGTGCTTGTATATCAGGTATTTTTGGTTCTGGCATTTTAAAAATAAGAAATGGGGGAAAATAATTTTCACATGCATCTGAAGTTCCCAAGTCATCTTTTAAGTTCTCCGTCAGAAACAGCTGGCTGGCCTGGCTCTGGAGTCAGCGGCCTCGTGCCTGAGTAGGGCATTAGGCTGCGTCCACTTGCTTCTAAAGCTCTGAGCTTGCCCGGCACACTTCGGTTCCCTCAGGGCACCCGGAAGGCTGGCCTGGGCTGTGGGGCAGCATCTTCGGCCAGAGGTAGCCGTGGGTGTGGTGTGACCCCTGCTGTGTACGTATGTAGTTTTTCTTTTCTGTTGAGCCAACCTCGAGAAGCCGGAGCCCCACAGGACTCGTTGGGTTCTGGCTGCTCAGAAAACAGTGACAGCCTTGCTGTGGCTCCCTGCCCGTGGACAAGCAACCCCTGGGAGGCTGTGCTTCCAGGGTCCCAGCTGCCACCCTTTCCAAGAATGGCATGACCCCGCCTCCTCCATTCAGCTCACCTGCCTGACCCAGGGTTGGACCAGCCCCCTGGAGCTGGTCTTTCCTCCAGGGCCCAGGGTTGAAAGCAGCCTTTTGGGCTGTATTTTCCAGCACATGGGGGAAGTTAGCTTCCATCCCCCTGCTGGGAGTCAGTACAAGTCAGAGAGATGGGAGATTCCGGTGACAAGGCGTTACCTTTGCTGCTGGTTCCGAGGGTGTCTGCGTTGCTGGCCTGGCCCCGGTCCACGAGGCCCCCTCCTCAGCCTCATGCTTCCCGCCGTGCGCCTCTGTCCTGCCTGTGCCCGTGGGCTGGTCCGTGCCTGGCCCACACGGCAGCTCCAGAGGGCACTGTGCGTCCTGCCACTGGGAGACGCGTGCTGTTTGTGTGTCTGCGTTGCTTCCAGATTTTAGTAAAACCAGTAGTCAGAGGGGGAATTCACAAATGCTTCTGTCTGCCTCTTACCTTTCTCCACTGAATGTGATTAAAGCGCCTGAACCACTTCAGGCCCAGAAGAAGCAGGTTGGGAAGTTGGCCCCTGAACCAGCCCTTTGATGCTGAAATTTTTTTTTTTCCCTCTCATTTCAAGATAATGATTTTTCCAGAAGGCACCTGTACCAATAGGACGTGCTTAATCACCTTCAAGCCTGGTATGTAGTGCCTTAATTATGTCTCTCTGCGAGAAGGTGGGGAAGGCCCTCACTCCCGGCAAAGTGCCTCAGCCCGGAGGTGTTCTCATATCTGTCTCCTGCGACCCTGGGGTTTGGTTTGAGTGTCCACAGCCGGCCCCCAGTGACCTCTGACCGAGAAGCCCACTCTGTGCTGAGACCCCCGTGGGCCGTATGGGCAAGGGATGTGCCGCCGCGGAGATGAGACATGTCCCTTCTCCGTCCACAGGTGCGTTCATCCCGGGCGTTCCCGTCCAGCCCGTGGTTTTGCGGTACCCGAACAAACTGGTGAGTGCATTCTCCTGGGCACACAGGTCCAGCGAGTGTCCTGGCCTGAGGACGGCCCAGTGTTCCAAAGCGTTCCCCCGCACTCACTCCTGAAGCCCTGCTCTCGTGGGTCAGAGTCCTGGCCCGTCCTTGAGCCGGACCCATGGGTGTGAGACCCCCCACCCCCTGTCGCCTCAGCAGCTCTGCCACCCAGTTCACACTCGGGACATTTTAAAACCAAGTCCCGAAGGCCAGAGAGCAGGAGGGAGCGGGGTTAGCCGCCTCCACTCTCAGTCCTCCGGGGGCACAAGCGCCCTCTTGACGGTGCTCTTGACAGAGCCCAGCTCGGCTTCCAGGGCGGGCCCTGGCCGCGGCCTCAGGCCCCGGTGCCGGGGGGCGCCTCTCCCCGGCCGTCCCATCTGTAACCCGCCCTGCCCCAGGCTGCATCCTGCCTCCTCAGGGGTGTGCAGCTCTGCGGTCCCTGCCTGCCTGGTGCTGGCTGCGAGAGCCTCTCCGGGGACCTGAGGTGGATTCGCTCACACGAGCTCCCTTGGGAGCCTTGTCCCGACAGGTCACGGCAGGGGGCGGAGGGCTGGTTCAGATGTGGTGGGATCCCTCTGACGTCTGTGGGCCCTGGAGGCTTTCAGCGCCCCTGCTTCCGAACTGGGCCCATGGGCCCCGGGTCTGTACGCTGACCCCATGCCCGCCGGTGTGGACAGACCCGGTGTCTGAATGCCTGTAGACCCGGCAGCCGCGTGGGCTGGTGCAGCCGCCCTTACGGCCCTGAAGAGGCTCGCGCCGTGGCCGGTTTCTGAGAACGAGGCTCCGTCACTGGCCTGTAGCGCTCTAGACGTCCCCCTCTGCAGTTTGCTCCACTGGCTTGTCTGAAGCACGGCGCTGGGCAGCTCTGGGAGGAGGGGGCCGCAGGGGTGAGGGGCTCCGTCGGGACTCACGGCTCCTCTCCTGCCCCCAGGACACCATCACGTGGACATGGCGAGGCCCGGGAGCGTAAGTCAGAGCCCACGCTGTCCTCCCCTCCAGGTGCCACCCAGCCGCTTACTTTAGGGGTTGCCGCGCCGGCCGTTCAGTCTGGCTGCACGAGGCGGCCTTCCCCGCACTCGGGATCCGGGACTGAAGCTGATGGTCCTCCCCCCGGCGGGAGGGGAATGGATTCCTCTTCCCACCTGCGTCTGTTGACTGGCTGGTTGAGCGCACAGCTTGACCCCGGAAAGGAAGGGGCACACGGGGGCCCGGGCGCCGGTGTCTGCTGGGGTTTGGGGGCGCGGGGGTGGCGGCCCTCCCGGGGCCCCTGGCCTGCCCGAGTGGCGGAAGTGGCATCGCCAAGGCTGGAGGGTGGAGTGGGAGGTGAGGAGCCGGGGGGAGCTGGGAGAGTCTGGGAAGGGGGTCCTTCAGGTTCCTGGCGAGCTGGGCTTGGAGCAGGCCGTGAAGAGGTGGACAGTGGTAGGGGTGCCACGACCTGGGGCCTGGGGGCCCTGGAGGGGCCGGATGTTGGGGAGACGAGGCGTCCTGAGCCGGAAGCCAAGCAGGGAGTGCGGCCTCGGGTCACGGCAGGCCGACGTGGGCGTCTCTGAGGAGCTCAGCCTTGTCCTCAGGGCCGCATTCACGGTTGCGATTCAGGCCCAGGAAGGCTCAGCGCCTCGTGGAGACCAGCCTGCTCAGGGGTGCCCTCTGCAGGGGAGCGGGGCGTGGAGACCCGGCATCAGAGCTGCAGGGAATTGAGACTTCACCATGCTGTAAATTTGTTTATGTTTAAGGTTGAAAATCCTGTGGCTGACGCTGTGCCAGTTTCACAATCAAGTGGAAATTGAGGTTTGTCTGGATGCGGCGTTATAGAACATCGTGTTAGAGTCTATACTGACGTGATGTTTCACAATGTTGTGTTGTGTATATTATTGCAATGTTGCATTTTGTCATGTTAGGGTCTCCATAGACAGAGTGTTACCAGGTTGAGGTCTGTAGAGATACGATGTTATATCGGGGTCTCTATGGACATGATATTATACATGATGCTGGTATCTGTAGGAGGTTACAGGTTATCTGTCTTGCTTTGAACGCTCCATTTCTCATGGCTTCGTAGAGGGCTTCCCAGTGGTTCAGTCAATTTGTGTCTCTTGTATGACCTTTTATCCATTCAGATAGCATTTTAAATATCCGCAGGAAGCTAAGCCCCTTGTTCCCTTATTATCGTTAGCGTAGCTTAACAGCATATAAAGTTCGCACACAAGCAATTAATGATTCTCTTGACTTACATTTTCACCTGATGCTGACACGGCTGGCATCATGCTACTCAACTTATCACACTCTTGACCTCTGTTGAATGCCCGGTCAGACCAGGCAGACTGCCCACGAGTCTTCAGCCTGTCTCCAAAGTCCCAGTACCCATGCTCTCTGCTCAGATAAACATGCCACATTCATGCAGCCTGTAAATTTAATCAAGTAGATGAGGAATAGAGTCTGTTTTCTTAAAAGTGGAATTCACTTGCTACTCCTACATCTGAAAAATGAAAGACTAGTCTTACACAGCATAAAGCTTTTCATTTGCTACCTTCCAGTAAACACTGCAGAGTAATGCTGAATTTACACATGATACCGGCCTTCAGCCAGGCTTTCCACTTCAGTAGAAATGAGCCACTTAATGAAGAACTGAGCTGAAAGGGCCGTGGCCCATGTCCAGGGGCGGCCGGCCCACAGCCCAGGATGCTTGCTGTGGCTCATCTGCTGGTGGCCAGGAGGCAGCAGCATGGTGAGTCTCCGGGGAGGTAGCTCTGTCTCAGCCTGGCTTCTGAATTTAAGAGTTGAAGCCGTGTGGCTTTGTGACGTCGCTCTGAACTCCTTCCTGTGTCCCTCTGCAAGATGCCAGTGCTGAGGTGGAACTGCCGCAACTTACAGAGGTTTTAAAAAGGTAGCAGTGAGAGACTAGAGCCTTTCCTACGATGGAGCCTGGCCCAAGGCGTGGGACTTCCGTACGTAAAACACTGTGTGAGCTTCAGTCACGCAGAGACCCAAGTTCCTGGGGCAATTTATAATGCAGTAGCTGTCCAAAAGCTGCTGAGAGCCTCTCAGATGAAACACGAAACTGAGACCATGAGAAATGGGAGCACATGTATGATTCTTCTGCATCTAAAGACTGAGCCCCCGGGTGAAGTTACCGCTCCATGCCCTGACTCCTGTGTCAAGGGAGTGGTGCTCCTGCTGAGGCAAGGCAGTTTGGGAGTGTGCACACGTGTGTGGGTGTGTGTGTCTGTGTGTGTGCACACACGTGCACCTGCTTGAGCAGGAGTGACAACTCCAGACGGTTCCAGTGGAAGGTGCTCTGCCAGCCCTTGCTCTGTCAGGGTGGAGGTCGTGTTGTAGTGGTGATGGCGGAGGGGGGAGTCAATGCTCGTGCCGGTGACCACCTTCTCTGTATGCGCAGTTCCTTCCGGTGTACACGCCCTCGGAGGAGGAGAAGAAGAACCCCGCCCTATATGCCAGAAACGTGCGCCGCATGATGGCAGAGTGAGTGAGCCTCGCGCCGCCCCCGCCCCCCAGCGCCGCCGGATCGGGGCTCCGTGGACGCCCCAGCGCCCTCGGCCTCCCCGGCTCTCATCACTCAGCGTCCTTGTCCCCGGCGTCCTTGTCCCCGGCGTCCTTGTCCCCGGCGTCCTGGCCTTGCTGGAGACCAGCTGGCAGCCGGGGCGGGTGATGGGCTTGAACCAGCCTGGCCAAGCGTCAGCCAGAGTGTGCTTGGCCGCACGCTCTGTCTCCCCGTCCTGTTGGAGGACGTTTCTGCTTGTTCAGCCTTCAGAGGATGGGTCATTGCCCCCGAATTCTCTGCACTGCAGCCATCGCTGTGAGCCAGCAGTGCCCGCAGGGCTGTGTCCGTGCGTGCGCGTGGAGACAGGCAGTGGGGCTGTGGTCACAAGCGCACGGGAGGGCCTGGGCCAGCACGTGTTGGCTGCCCTCCTCCTGGAGAGCAGTCCTGAGGTTCTTTCTCCGCAGAGCGCGGGTTTTGTGCACTTGATCCCGTGGCACTTAGAGGACGGTGTGCCTGCAGCCAGGACCATGCCCGCCTGAGCTTCCCTGCAGCCAGGACCATGCCCGCCTGAGCTTCCCTGCAGCCAGGACCATGCCCGCCTGAGCTTCCCTGCAGCCAGGACCATGCCCGCCTGAGCTTCCCTGCAGCCAGGACCATGCCCGCCTGAGCTTCCCTGCAGCCAGGACCATGCCCGCCTGAGCTTCCCTGCAGCCAGGACCATGCCCGCCTGAGCTTCCCTGCAGCCAGGACCATGCCCGCCTGAGCTTCCCTGCAGCCCCTGGCTGGTTCCAGGCCCTGGCAGCCTCAGCTCAGACCCCAGGCGTTCAGCCTGCCCACACGCCTCAGAGCCTTCGGCACTGGGAGCAGAGTCTGGGGGGAACACGCCCCCCACCCCGACCACTGGGACACAGAGCCACCAGGCAGCAGGAGGCGCTTCACTCTCAGCTTTTGGGAAGTCAGGGCAGTGAGGGACCCTGATCAGCCCCTGGACAGATATACTATCCATAGAGTCAGAGGCCTGACAGTTTGGGTGTGATTGTTTTTTTGTTTTTTTTTTAGTTTATATCCAGTAAATTAGCTATTAAAAATCTTAAGTACATACCCTAAGGAAACTTCTGTGTTGTCATACAGTCCGTGTTGGCTCAGTGGGAAAGGACAGATACCCATTGGGTCCTGTCTCGCCTCACGGCTGCAAGAGGATTCCAGAACCGTGAGGGTCCCACCCAGGGTCCCACAGGCTTTGCAGGCGGCCTGGGGACCCTCTGGACCTGCAGCAGCTCTGGCTTCTGTCCCCACACGGCCAGACCTGAGTGCTCTTTAGGGGAGTTCAGCAGCCGCAGAGTGGAGCCTTCAGAATCATCGCCATGGCAACCAGGAGCCACAGCCATATCCTTGTACCTGCCAGGGACTGGGTCCGGGGCCCTCAGAGACCAAAGTCCAGGGAGGCTCACGTGCCTCGTGTGCGATGGCCTCGTATGCTGCCCCCGTGTCCTCAGATGTGGAGCCTTGGATCCGGAGGGCCGACTGTCCTGCTGAGACTAGCGAAAGCCCCCTCGGTTACAGAGACGGGGTTGGCGGGGTCCTTCTCGATACCTGGTAAATCTCCTACTGTGAATGCACTTTCCATAAACGTCAGGAGAAGGCTGCTTTCCATGGAATCTGAGACAGCCTGTGGGATGACGGGGTCCTGCCTCCCTCTGACCTCAGGACGGTGCCAGCCTGGAGAGCAGGGTGCTCTGCACCCCGAGGGCGGCTTCCTGTCCCTGAAGGCTCCAGATGCGGGCTCCGTCCCTCGTGGGCGGAACTGCCGAGGCACCAGGCTGACCCTCGGCTGGGCAGCCCCAGGCCCCAAGTTACCGATGTGTGGGGTCAGCTATTCAGCCTTTGTGTTTAGTGCCGAGTGTGGTGCTTCCTATCATTGCTGTTATTTTGTATTTTGGCTCACCACTTGGCACATGGGATGGCTCCCTGACTAACAATCGACCCCAGGCCTCAGCAGTGAAAGCGCCAAGTCCTAACCTCTGGGCTACCTGGCGGCTCCCTGAATATGCTCTACACACCTCGGCGTCCAGAGCACTCGGCGCCCAGTGGCTCCTGTTAAAGGCTCCTGCGTGGGGGTGGTGGGTGTTTGCGGGCTCCGCGGGCACCTCATCCCATCCTGCAGGCTTGGGGCACCCAGGGGGAGGGTCAGGGCCTCCGACCTCCCTCCAGGCCCCACTTACGACCCTCCAGATGTGGCTTCTGGGGGGACCGATAGGAGGGGCCTCACTCCGGCGGGGCTGGGGGCAGGCCTGCGGCTTTGCCCCGCATCACTCCCAGGTGGGAACGGCCAAGGGAAGCCGAGTCTGCCACTCGCCACTGGGTGGACAGGGCTGCCTGTGTCCTTAGCCCCAGGACAGTGAAAGTGGGACTTTGCCAGTGTTCTCTGCGTGGCCCTCCGTCTGAGCCGGCTGCACTCACGCTCAGGAGGACGCACCCTCCTTCCAGGCCCAGCGCTCACGCCAGAGGACTCACCGGGCGCTGCCTGCCCTGCCTCCTAGGCCGGGGGGTGGGGGGCCACCAGAGCAGCTCATCCCCTCATACATGCATGTGCCCTCATCCAGCTTTCACACCCCTCTGATGCTGCGGGGCTTTGCCCCCCAGTTCCTTTCTCGCAGCTGAGTGCCAGCACACCCCGAGCCATGTGGACACACCGGGGCCTTTGCCTGGGGAAGCCGCCCATTTCTCCAGCACCCCTGCGCCCCACGTCTCACCCAGGGGGTCGTTCCTGTTCTTGGGGAGCTGGTTCTCTCCGTGACTCTCCCCTCCACCCTGAACACCACCTGTGTTCTTATCAACTTCTACTTTTAATGTGTAACTAAAGCTTCACTGAGGCTGCAGAATGTGCAAACCTAAGCAGAAGCGCCACTTAGGGTACAGACAGCTTGGGTCGTGCGGAGGGCAGTCTTTTGTTAAAAGTGCACGCGTTCGGGGGACAGGCCGCTCCAGGGCGCCGCGCCCACAGGTCCCAGAGCGGGAAGCAGGACATCTGAGTCGGCAGGCCTCGCTGTCGCGTGGGTCTCCGCCCCCAGAGCTGAGCCTGGAGAGCGTGCGAGAGGGGCCGGGACTCTGGGCCTCCGCGTGCGACGCTGCTCTTCGGCCACTCCCTCCCTGGGACAGCCCCCCTGTTGCCCGGAGGGCGGCTGACCCGGCCCCTCCTCCCCCGCAGGGCCCTGGGCATCTCCGTGACCGACTACACGTTTGAGGACTGCCAGCTGGCCCTGGCGGAAGGCCAGCTCCGTCTCCCCGCCGACACCTGTCTTCTGGAGTTTGCCCGGCTGCTCAGGGGTCTGGGGTGAGTTCCCTGGTCCTTGCTGGCGGGCGCTGAGTCGAGGCGGCCGTCTCTCAGGCACCTGGGACAAAGGAGACCGTTCAGAGGTCACAGGCTTCATTCATGTGGGCCCCGCAGGGTCCCCTCCCGGGCACTGATGACAAACCCAGAGGTCGCAGGCGGAAGCCAGTTGAAATGATTAACGGTGCTCTTTCTGAGGTTTGGGTTATTTTTTCTTTTTTGAAATGCCAGTATCATTCCACACAGAAGTGTCTTAAACCCTGAATGGCTGGCCTGACTGTCTCTTTATGGACGGCCTCCCCTCCCCCAGCCCTGCCCCGCATCCTAGGAGGGCTGGTCCCAGGGTGGGCCCGCGCACTGTGGGGTCCCAGAGCTTGGGGTCGGGGACACACTTGGCCCTCAGGCTTCTAGACGAGCCCCTTTTCCCGAGGAATGACTGCTGCTCTGTCTATGAATCATCTTCAGGGTTTGCTGGGTCTTAGGACAAAACAGTAAAGCTTCCATTTTCAGCATTCTGTAACTATTGAAAACAATCTTCCCCTCATTTTTTTTCTTTAGACTAAAACCAGAAAAACTTGAACAGGATCTCGACAGGCATGCAGAAAGCGCCAGAATGAAGCAGGGCAGGAGGGTGACGCTCCCTGAGTTCGCAGCGCAGCTGGGGGTCCCCGAGTCCGAGTCGCTGGAGGACCTGTTCTCCCTGTTTGATGAGGTAGGGGTGGCGGGGGACAGCTGGTTTTCCCTGAGCGATTTTGGAAGCAAAGGAGAGGCCAGCCTTTGTTGCCCGTCTTCCTAGCCACCGTCTTTTAGAGTGTTTTGTCCTGTATTGTCAAATGCAAATAGAAATTTGGCTTTTAAGTCAGTTTGTTGGCAAGCACGCCTGTAGTTGGGGGAATTGAAGCAGGTCGCTCAAAGACCCCTGAGTCCACGCGTGCCCTCAAGAGGTGGCGGGGCCCTTGCTAACGGCGTCTGTCCCCAGGGTGGCGGCGGGGAGGTGGACCTACGCGAGTACGTGGTCGCCCTGTCTGTCGTCTGCCGGCCGGCCCGGACCCTGGACACCATCCAGCTGGCGTTCAAGGCAAGTGCGGCGCTTCTGCGACCTTAACATGTGGGGTCGGGGAGACACGGGCTCGTCCAACCTGCGAGACACCTTGTAGTCCCTTAGAACGTTGGAGAACTTAGTCGCGCGCCGGCTCTTTTCACGTGAGCGTGTACCAGCCATTGCTTATAAAAGGCCCAGAAGCGCCTCTGCCCAGTTCCTCCTAGATGAGAGCCCCGCTCACCTTCCTGAGTCCTGCTGGTGCCGAGCAGGACCGCTGGGCCATCTCTCCCCACACAGCCTCCCCATCGGCCTGCTGACCGGAGGGAAGCAGGGCTTCAGGGCTGAAGAGCCACCAGCCCCAGTGTGACTCCGGGCCAGTCTGCTCACGAGGCGGGCAGCGAGTCTGGGAGGCGGGGAAGGGTCATGCTGGGGTCCTGGCCCACCTGGATCCAGCCAGCGGCCCTGAAGGCGGGTCTCATGGGGTCAGTCTGCTAGGATAGAGCGAGGCAGGCCTTGCCCGCCAAGAGACAGGCTCCATCTCACACTAGTGAGACTCACGGGCACCTGCTGTATGTAGGTCAAGGGAGCCCTGTCCCTCACTGGTGGAGAACGCCGTCTCTGCCTTCCAGCCCCAGCAGGCCTTCCCCACGGCTGGGAGGGACCCCACAGCACAGGGTGGCTCCACCAGTCCCGGCAGAGGAGTTGACGGGCAGCATCAGTGCTTGGTGGACAAAGACCAGGAAAGCCCGTCCGCATCCCCTGGCCTCAGCAGGCACCTCTCGGGGCCCATCGCCCCTGTGCCAGCCCCGCCCTGTCAGGCGGCCCCGCAGCGGCTTCACTGACATGGCTTGGTAGAATCTGCTGTCATGATGGCGGCTGGTGGGGGGGCGGGCGACCTGCTTTCAGCACAGCAGCTGAGCACGAGCATGAACTGCTAGGGCGTCCACCCCGGGGCCAGGTGCACGGCCGGGGGGTGGGGGCAGGGCTGCCTGAGCAGCCGACCCGAGGGTCCCGGTGGTTCTCCGCAATGGCCTCCCCTGCAGGGACTGCCCCTCCCAGGCTCCTCAGAAAGCCAGTGGCCCCTGTGTCTGGCATCCCTACAGGGCGCCCGCGTGTCCTGCTCGTGTGGACGGCCTGCCCCACCTGAGGTCGACGACCCACAGGCTCTCCCTCCGTCCCCACCCACAGCCCAGGATTGGGGCATGTGTGAGCAGGTGCGGGGCAGGCGGCCCCGAGATGTGGTGAGGAGGGTCTGCGAGGTGTCCTGCCCGGGGTTGCGGACACGCCTGGGCCTGTCCCCCTGGGCTGATGGTTGAGATGCAGCATTATAGCAGAGTTCAGGCTCCCAGAGACCTGTGCAGAGCTGGGGCTTCCCCAGAGCAGTGCTTGCAAGCAGCATAACGTACTTCTGGGTCCCTTGTCTCCACCTTTTCTACTACCGTCATCGATTCAGTTCAGTCGCTCAGTCATGTCCAACTCTGTGACCCTATGAATCGCAGCACGCCAGGCCTCCCTGTCCATCACCAACTCCCGGAATTTACTCAAACCCATGTCTATCAAGTCAGTGATGCCATCCAGCCATCTCATCCTCTGTCGGCCCCTTCTCCTCCCGCCTTCAATCTTTCCCAGCATCAGGGTCTTTTCAAATGAGTCAGCTCGTCGCATGAGGTGGCCAAATATTGGAGTTTCAGCTTCAGCATCAGTCCTCCCAATGAGTGTTCTGGACTGATTTCCTTTAGGATGGACTGGTTGGATCTCCTTGCAGTCCAAGGGACTCTTCACGAGTCTTCTCCAACACTGCAGTTCAAAAGCATCAATTCTTCGGTGCCCAGCTTTCCTTATGGTCATCATCATGTGAAACTGCAGATACGGTCGTGGTACAAGCCCCACCAGCTCAGGAAGGTGACGGGGGCAACCCGGGGCCTGGTCCTCCCATCACAAGCCCGGTTCCTCCTGGCCTTTCTCAGACAGACGGCAGGGTCATCTCGGGAGGCAGAGATGGAAGTCCCCTCGCTTTCGGCGTCACAGCTTCAGGCCTCAGGCCCCCTCGTCCCCTGCTGCAGCTCTGAGCACTGGCGGGTGCGGGGCGCCCGCGGGCCGGGCTGGACTGTGGGGTCTTCAGGCTGCAGAGAGGTTTGTCTGCAGGTGGTCTGGTTTGACACATATAAAGAGCGAGATACGAGGGGACTCGGGAGGTGTCCGCCCCACAGCCCAGGCCAGGGGCGGAGCGGGCTGGGCCCCGGGAGCGGTGGAGGCAGCCCTCCAACACGGAAGCGCCTGGCGGCGGGTATCCCACCTGCGGAAGGCTGTGTGAGCGGGTGGCCGGCTCGTCGCGCTGACAAAAGCCAGTGACCCCTGGGGGCGCCAGGCAGGGCCCGAGCTTCGCCTGACCCAAGGAGCAGGCGTCCTGCCCCGGGGAGCCCGCCTCCAGGCAGGAGGGTGGAGGGGACGCTCCAGAGGCCCCTGGGTCACAGTGGGGAGCCGAGCCCGCAGGTGGCCCGGGGGCAGCCCCCAGCTCTTCCACAGCCCCGGTCAGCCTCAGGGCTCAGGGGGCCTCCTCCAGAACCAGGCGGGAGGGGCGCCGGGAAGGTCGGCTACGGAGGGACAGCGGCTGCAGGCAGGTCTCAGCCCGGTGTAGCCGGGGCTATGGTTGCACCAGCCCGTGTGGCCTCACTGGTTGCGAGGCGCCCGCAGCGATGACCGTCAGGGAACCTCGAGAGGACAGGCCCATCACCCTCAGGTCCTGGAGGGCCCATGGCGCGGGTACAGCCAGGTCACAGGGAGAGAGTGGGTCAGGCTCTGCCTTTGTGGGGGGTGAGGATGGGGCCTGGGGCTTGGGGATTCATTCTTCAGCGGTGAATTCAAAGCAGAAGAGGGGAAGTTAGAGGAGGGAGACGGGGTCACTGCGGTGGTCCGCTGTGTGGGTCACCAGGGCTCCTTGGAAGGGACCTCGGGGGCTGGGGGCCGGCCTAGCTCCTCACCCTGCGGTTTTGCCAGTGACCACGCGTCACAGCCGTGGTGTGTTCACCCAGAGGGACGTCTGAAGCGGGCGCCTCGCAGGCAATGGCCAAATGCAGGCGATTGCGCTGCAGTGCCCGGAGCACCGTGTCTGGTGGATTTAAGACATAATAGCGGGGAACTGGAGGCCCGAGGGTTCGTTCATGGAGCTGGGCGCCAACCGTCTGGACTCTGTGGGCTCCAGCGGTCCCGACCCTATGGGGTCCGGCCCAGCCCAAGAGCAGGAGCAGCCCGGGGCCGTGGGGCAGGGGAGGCCGCTGGGTGACGCCCGCCCCGCCCCGCCCCGCAGATGTACGGGTCACAGGACGGCAGCGTCGACGAGCATGCCCTGTCCAGCATCCTCAAGACCGCCTTGGGGGTGGCCGAGCTGACGGTGACCGACCTCTTCCGGGCCATAGACCAAGAACAGAAGGGCAGGATCGCGTTTGGTGAGTGGCCGGGAGCCGGGGAGGACACCCCCGTGCAAGGTGGGGCGCCCCACTCCCCTGCACCCCCCACCCCCCGCCCCGAGACCGGGCAGTGCTGGGGCGGGGTTCCCTGTCTCCTCCGGGGGCGGTTAACAGGCACGTTCCGCGTCTGGCCGTGAAGCAGATGCCCTCCCCAGCGTCTGCCGGGCGGAGATCAGAAGGTCCCTGGGGCCAGGAGGGGTTCCGCCCTGACGCCTAGGGCACCTCCTCTCCGGGGGGCTTGGCCCTGGCACCTGTCGCCACACACGGTGGGACGGCTGCGCGCCTCGGGCGGGAACCCACCCGGGGACGAGGCCTGGGCTGCAAGGGCAGCAGGAGCCTCCGAGGGTGGCGGGTTCATCAGAGGATGAGCGGTAATCTCCCTGAGATAAGAGCAGAGTTTGCTCAGGAAAGGTCATCGCGCGCCTCTTGTTTGGCTGTGTTTTTAAATCACAGCCAAATGTCAGGAGGAGCCGCCGGGCCTCGCTTTGGGTGCGCACGCCTGTGATAAAGGGGCCACGCCTCACGGGGAGAGGGGGCTGTCGCGGCTCTGAGCCCCCGGACTGCAGACCCCGTGGAGGCTGTTCCCACCGGCCGAGGGAGCACGGGCGCTTCTTTTCAGCCGCCTGGAGCCTGCGGCGCCCCGACCCGGGGCTCAGAGCATCGCCGCGCCCCCGGGGTGCCCCCAGGGTGCCCCACCCCAAAGCTGGGACCCAACGTCACCGGGAGACACAGCGCAGGCCCCGCGAGGGCTCAGGGGGGCGGTGCGCCCGGTGTCCCCAGGGCACAGCCGAGTCTACCTCAGGACACTGCGCACCCGGGACACATCCCGGAAGTGACCCTTCAGTCCCCCCGAAGCGGGTGTGGCCGAGGCGTTGTGGCGGCCGCCCTGGTCTCCGCAGGGACGAGGTCGCCGCAGGGAAAACAAGCGTGCACGCAGATCCCAAGACGCCCCTGGGTGTGAGGGGGGCGCCCGGGAGGGACGCCGGGCTCGAGACCTTCGCCCCCGAGCTCTTAACCAAGGTGCCTGTATCTCTCCAGCTGACTTCGAGAGCTTCGCGGAAGCGAACCCCAATTTCGCGGAGGAATACCTGTACCCCGAGCAGACGCACCTTCGGAGCTGCGCCCGGACGCCCCCGGCTCCCACCCCCAACGGCTTCTGCGCCGATTTCAGCCCCGAAAACTCAGCCGTTGGGACGGAGCCTGTTCACAAGAAGCTGGACTAGGGCAGAAGGGTCTGGCGAGACCAGGCCTGTGCGCAGCCGCCAGCCGGTCTCACACTCCAGCGCGTGCTGCCCCTGCCCTGCCCTCGGGCCGGGTCCTGGGCGGGCCGGGCCGGCCGGACCTTGTGCCCCGTAAGGAAAGCCACAGCAGCTCGCGGGCGGCTCCGGCCCCGCTTCCAGGCAGCAGTCGGGGGCCCGCGGTTGCTCTGTCCTCACCTCGAGCCCCGGTTCTGCCCCCATCCTCTCCCTCGGGCCTTCCAGTCCGGTCCTGTCCTGTCCGGGCAGTGCGGGCCGGCGGCCTCCATGGGTACTTCAATGCCGCACTCCCGCCCGCGTGTCGATTCCAGCAGTCTCCGCCGCCCTCTGCGGAGGAGGGCAGGGCCGCCGTCCGATTTTTAAACGTTTCTATATTTGCAGGAGCTCATGAGTCTTTTGTAAACTTCATTTAGATACTTCAGGAAACATTCAGCCTTTTTTTTTTACAAGAAGAAAATCGTTTTTCTACTTCGTTTTCCTTTGAGGGTCAGAGGATATTTATTTATAGGTCCTTTTTTGATAGATCCTGGGGCTCTTTGGAGCTTTGAGTTGACCTTCTCTCCTGCCCCTCCCATCCAGGCAGCCCCCCTGCCCCGCCCCTGCGTTGGGGCACCGCAGGCACCCCGTCTGGAGCTGCCTTCCTGCAGCGTCAGCCCTTTTCAGCCCCGCTGCTCTTACACCAGCCTGGGGTTTCTGTTCTGGGGTGACCGGATCCGCGTCACCGAGTGCAGGCTGCGACCAGAGCCCTGAGTGTGGGGAGGGGAGACCGGCCTCGGTAGGGACCAGCAGGGGGCTCCTGTCTCCGGCTGGCACCCCGAGGGCACCGTCAGTCCCCGGGAGGGTCTACCAGTCGCTGACTCCCCCCAGCACCCCCCTTTTGCCCGGTTTCCCGGGGCATCAGGAGCCAGAGCAGCCTCAGGGAAGGAGGGTGTGGGGAGCAGGTGGTGGGGTTCAGGGAGCCCTGGGGGCTGGGGCACCTCTCTGTGCCCAGAGGTGGGGGCGGCAGCTCTGGGCTCAGAGAGGGGCTCCAGGGGGCCTCCTTCACGGTCACGAAATCGCCTGGATTCATTTCCTCGGGACGTGATTAGAAACGTCTCCTCAAAGCACAATGACAACCACATGAAGTGTGTTCCCAGAGCACAGCCTCTGGGTTTGTTTGGGGCTTTTTTTTTTTTTTTAATTTCTAAAGCGATTGGATTTTCTCTTGGGGCCATGGCCATGGAAAGTGACCACCAGGGCTGGAATTGAAGAGCAAATATTTACTGACTTCCTGAGGCTCGGAGACCTGCATGTCGACTGACAGATGGACAGGCGTCAGGAAAGAAAACCCCCTTCACTTCTGTTCATTCCAGAGCCCCTCCAGCCCCGCACTGGGCAGGGGGCACCTGACATCATTCCAGGGCACTGGCCCGCTGGACACAAAACTTCTAGCACAGCCTTGGCAGCGAACAGGACTGAGGTCGTGACCATAGAGTGCATGAAGGTTCATCTTTACAAGACAGAACCCCGCGCCCAGCCATGAAGGAGGTGAACGAGCCAAGATGTTCTGAGCAGGGGCGTCAGCCCGCGTCTGTGGATGAAGTGTTTTTGAATGAAACGCTGCTATGCGTTTTCAGGAAAAAATCTCTGATAAACAGACCTTGAATGGATGTTTGTTCCTCCTGATTCTCTTTTCTCTTTCGTAGTGACTTCGGGTCGTGGGTTCAGAGCTGTGAATGTACAGAGCTCGGGGGTGGATGCCCCGTGCGTGGGACTAGAGCTGCGAGGGGCCCACCGCCTTCAGGGGCCTGCTGGGTGCTGGGGGTGGGGGGGTGGGGCAGGCAGCTCCAAAACAACCAGAGGTTTTCAACAGAACGAATAAAACCTAACGTCTTAAATGCTTGAGGACGTATCTTCTTATGAGTCTTGATCACGGGGTGCTGCCGAGAGCAGCAGGTGCCCGGCGACTGCACTCTCCATCCCTGCGGCCACGCGGTGTCCGTCCTGACCTCCCTGTGAGGCAGTGCCTCCTGTGACGTCGTAACCCCTCCGCCACACGTTTGCTTCACTTCTGCTGAGAAAGTGCCTCCACTTCCATTCAGGGGAGTTCTTGTGCCAGCGGACAGCATCAGATGCTCTGTCAAGTGGGAAACTAGGTGATAAAGTTCCCACTCACCACCACTGCTGTTCCCGCTGTAAAACGAGAGGATGTGTATGTAGACACATGCATGTACACGTGCACGTGAAAACGTGTGCACGCACATGTGTGCACACAGGCACCCACGCACACACACTGGCAGGCATATGTACATGCACGTGCATGCACATATGCACATGTATACACAGGGACACGTGCACATACCTCTGTACGCAGGCATGTGCACACCCATGCACGCACACATGCCTGTCCATACATGTGTACACGTGCACACACATACGCATTTGTGTGCACATGTACACAGGCATGCATACACATGCACACGTGTGCCCACATGCACGTGCATGCATGTGTACACACAGGCATGCAAACGTACACGTACACGTTCATGTGCACGCACATATGCCAGTCAAGAAGGCAGCCACTCGGGCACTGCAGTCCTGCCTCCCAGGGCTGGTGTGTGGCTGAGACTGGTATTCTCTGCTTCCTTCCCCCACCCCCCCCACCCCCGTGCCATGGTCCCCACATACCTTGACCAGTCAGGTCTTTCCCAAGAGAAAGGAGTCACATTTTCTTTCTAAAGCACCTGGAGTCTTTGTGGTCTTGACTCCAGTGGTCACGGGATCAGCTGGGAAAGAGCTGAGAGGCGCCCAGCGGGTCCCCTGCCTGCCGCGCTGTAGTTAGCATCTGTAACAGCGCCCCATCCTGTTGCCTCGCTGGCAGGAGGACCCCCAACATCTGTGACCACCTAAGCTTGCAGGGCAGTGGCCCCACCATGTCCCTAAGTAGGAGCATCCCAGCCGAGGGAACTGAGCCCTTAAAGACGGACGAGCCCGGAGCGGCAGAGAAGTTTCAGGGCAGTGACAGGTGACCCTCACTCACTGTCCCCCGGCGCCCCCCACCCCACGCATCCCCACATCCCTGTTTGCCCGCATAGCCCCTCTCCTGGGACCCACCAGGCAGACACTCGGGGAAGGGAGAAGAGGCTGACGCTTCTGCAGAAGTGCAACGCCAGCCCCGCTCACGTTTCCCAGCCACTGTGTACCACCTGGACCCACAGCCCCACAGGCCAGACACGTGTCCAGCGGACGGCGAGCCAAGACATCCCCAGACAGAGCCACGCGGGCCCCTGGGGTCACCAGGAGAGAAGAGCTTCCCCTCGGCTCCTCCCGACCCCCCCACCCCATGTCACAGGCGTGGGCCCTGCCGAGACCAGCTCCACACACACCCGACGTGCCACAGGCACCCCATCAGGACCGACGCCGGCACTGAGGTGTCAGACGCTGGCCCTCCGTCCGTCGGGCCAGTGCTTCTGGTGGGGACCTGCTCGGAGTGCCAGGCTTCCCTTGCAGCGAACGTCCCTTCCCGATGTAACCCGAGGTGGGCGGTCAGCGGTGGTGAGCTCTGCCCTCGGTGCTGGAGGAGGCTCGGAGATGGGGGTGGGGGACAGGGACAGCATTACGACAGGACAAGCCCTTCCCCTCCCGGACAGGAGGGGCTGGGGGGTGGGCGGGGTCTGGCCACAGCCACGCAGGCCTTGGCTGCTCTTGGCTCAGCTCTGGGTGGGGCGTGTGCGTCACCCCACCCCCTCTGTCCCTTGTCACCCATACTCGCTGGGTTGGCTGGAAAGGGAGGCCACAGCCACCACCCAGGTCCCACCCTGGACGGGGTACCTGAGATGCACGCTGCAGGGCAAACACCGTGAGCCCCTCGTGTGCATCCGACGGAGCACAGACGGAGGAGGCCGACCCAAAGCGGCACTAAGGGTCCCATCACGGGAGACGCCAGTCCCAGAGAGGGGTGTAGGACAGAAAAAACATTGAACAAATGTTAGCCAGACTTCTCCCAGATCTATCAGCTCAGACAGCCAAGAAGCTCCATTAGCCACAAACAGAAGAAATATAACAAAAATACTGCAAGGCTCATCACAAAAGGTTCTGGAAGCCGCTGGTAAAGAGAACCTTAAAGGCAGCCAGAGAAAAAGAAAATATTGCTGTGGAAACAGGTAAGCACGAGACACACGTGGGGACCCGACTCTGCAGAAAAGACGAGTGTTACCTGAAGCGGGGCTGTGAACACTTAAAACGCAGGTGAGCCTCCAGAGAAAGCAAAATAAAAACAGAGGGAGGACTTCCCTGGTGGTCCAGTGACTAAGGATCAGTCTACCACTGAAGGGGACGTGGGTTCAATCCCTGATCGGGGAAGATCCCACACCGTGGGCAGCTCCCCCCGAGCACCAGGACTACAGACGCCCGCGCTCTAGAGCAGGCTCTGCAACAAGAGAAGCCAGTGCAGTGAGAAGCCTGCACACCCCAACTTGAGAAAAGACCGCGTAGCAACAAGAGGCCTAGCACAGCCAAAACTAAATAAACAAAAAGTAAACAAATTTTTTTAAAAACATAGAGGTGTAACTAATAAGCCTATAGTAGAAATAAAATGGAATATTTTTGGATAATAATTCCATCCAAACGAAGCAGGACAGTAAAGAAAAGAACAACGAACAGGTAATACAAATAGAAGACAAACAGCAACAGTAAAATTAAATCCAAGCACACTAGTAATTACATCAAATACAGACCCAAAACTCCTAAAGGACAGTTGCTAGGCCAAACTGAAAAACAAACGAAAAATTCTAACTATATGCTGTTTAAACACATACTGAAAGTTAAAAAACAGGAAATATATGTAATATGCAAACATAACTCTGAGACAGTTGATACGGCAGGATTAATACTGCACTAAGTGACCTTTAAGATGAGGAGGATTACGGTGTCAAGGCAAACACTTCAGCTGATGAAGGGTTCAGCTCCCCCGAAGGACCAGTCATCCTAAAGGTGTGCATCCCCAGCAACGCAGCTCGGAATGTGTTAAGCAAACACTGACAGAATGAACAGAGGAAACAAATAAATCGGCAAAGAGAGCTGGAGATTTTTCACATAATTCTCTCAGTAATCGACAGACCCACCAAGAAAAGAAGCGCAATTATGTATAAAATGTGAACAACCTCATTTACCAAACTTAATTGCTATTAAAAATGCACATGAAGCAGTTGACAAAACAGACTCTTTGCCTGGCTCAAGGGTAACTCTCATTAAATCTCAAGACATTTACGGCCAGCGCTGTCTGTCCTCTGATCAGCAGGAAGCCTCCTGTTCCAGGGGCAGAACCCAGCTCCACACTCTGACTGCACACGTGTCTGGCCGGGTCTGCGGGCCGAGGGTCGGTCTCTGTCATGGGGTCGTCAAGAGCTGCTCAGGCTCTGATTAGTTCTTTCCAACTTAACAGAAGTTAATGAGTCCACAATTTCGCTTCTGGTCAAGATGGAGGCGCAGTGGCTGGTTTCACCTCTGTCCTGGAAGAGGTGATCAGTGCAAACTCAGATGGGTTTTGCCTGAACCAGGAGGAAATCATAGCCCCTCAGCCAAACACAATGCTGGTCCCAGCACACAGAGCTTACGAGCGAGACCTGAAAGAATGACCAAACTCTTTGCAAGGAGCTTGCCTGCAGCCCAAAGTTCCAGAATATTCAGAGGGATATACAACTCCCCAGCACCCAAAGGGTCAAGGTCACAACGCTCTGCCTCCCATCACAGGTCAGGTAGGTGCAAAACTCCAGGCAAGATGACCTGTTATCAACAGAAACAGACCCAGAAGTGACTCAGGTGATGGAATTAGTAGATGAGAGCATTGACGATCACTACGCAAAATCGCTGGACTCTGTGTTCAAATGCCAGCTGGAAGCAAGGCTGGCCATGGTGGAAATGCAAAAGGTGTCTTTTAAAAGACACAAATTTGGACTTCCCTGGAAGCTCAGCGGTAAGGTACCCACCTGCCAATGCAGAAGATATGGGTTCCGTCCCTGGTCCGGGAAGACCCCACAGGCCCCAGAGCAGCTGAGCCTTTGCACAGCTATTGACCCAGCGCTCTAGAACCCAGGAGCCTAAACCACTGAGCCCACGCGCTGTGAGCACTGAAGCCCTGGCGCCCATGCTCCAGAACGGCAGACGCTCCAGAGAGAAGCCTGAGCACCGCAAATGGGGAAACCCGCACAGCAACGGGACTCGGCACAGCCCGACGCAGACGCAGAGACAAGATGTAAAAAGACAGATCTGAACCCTGCAGGCGTGAGCCATGTCTGCAAGACACCCCGGCTGCGAGGAAGGGAGACTGACCTCACAGGAGGGATGGCAAGTGGCCTCGAAGGGCAGCAGCAGGAGCGGGCCAAACCAAAACAGAGGCAAGAGGCAACTAACCGAGCATCCGTGAGCGCGGGCCTTCACGTCGCCCGACAGACCTGCCGCTGGAGTCCCCACAGGAGAAGGGCGGACAGAAAAATATGTGAAGAAATACCTTCCCAAGGTGGATACAAACTATAAAGCCCTGGGTCCAAGAAGCGTAAGGATTCCAAGCAGGAGTGCCATGGAGGAGACGCACCAGGAGCATCGTAATCCAATGCTTAGACCAGACGAGGAACAGAGAGTCAGCAGGGCCAAGGGCTCAGAGCAACAGGTGAGCAGAGAGCAGAGCCGCACCCCGCGGCATCCACGGAACAGAGGACGCTTCACGCAGCAAAAACATCTCTTTTTTAGCGTGTATTTTCTTTTAGTTTTAATCTCTTTTAACACCAAAAAAAAAAAAAAGGACCCAAAGAAAAAGTGTTTGTAAACTCAAAAGCTGAAAGAATCCATCGCCAGCCGGCTGGCATACCTCAAGGCACAGTGCGAATGCAGGTCCACGCCTGAACGTGACTGCGCTCCGGCCTCGGGCCTGCAGGGGCTCAGCCGGAACCGCGTGGGAGACAGAAACACTGCTCTTCGTTTGGAGTTCTGTCCAGGGTGGTTGTCTGAAGCGAAGGCGACAGCGCATCCTGGGGTTCGCGACACACAGGTGGCGAGGCGACAGTGGCCGGGCGGGGCGCCGAGCAGCAGCCCCGGGCCGGCGCAGGGGCGGCGTGCAGCGGTGCGGTGTCCCGGAAGGGAGGCGCCGGAACAGCGCAGCGGCGAGGCGCGGCTCAGAGTCCAACAGCAGAGGCAGACGCGGACTCAGAAGCGGGGCTCCCGCCTGAGGGCGGCAGAGACGCCGGCAAAGGGGCGGGGGGCGCCGCGCCGCGCGCGGACTGAGCCCGGCTGCGTCAGCACCACTCTGAGCGTGAATGGCCATGGGCCCTCAGGGGTCCGCGGGACTCATCAGGAAGGATGTGAAAGTGAGGCCTGGCCACGTGATGCCAGCAGGCACACCTTCCATGGATACCAGCGGGCCAAAGCAGAAGGGCGGCGCCAACCGCAGCAAGAGGAGGTGGGGCGGGCGTCGGTCTCAGAGCCCAGGTGGTCAGCCCAGGGTCTAAGCGAGGTCATGCACGATAAGGGTGTCGCTCCCAGGAGGACGTGGAGGCCCTAAGGTGTGCGGCTGACAAGAGGGCTTCCCCGTGAATGACGCACGTTGGCAGGACTGCAGGGACGCAGAGGCCAGCCCACACAGCTGTGCCTCAAGTTCTCAGCACGTCTCTCTGCGTGACCCACAGGACAAGGGAACGAAACTGACCTACATTTACACCACAGGAGCATCAAACGGGTCCTACACACAAGGGCGCAACCTAAAACTTAAACTCTTAGAGAAAAACTTTAGGAGAAAAATTTTTGCGATCTTGGGTGAAGTAAAAATTTCTCAGATACAGCACTAAGAGCAGGATTCATTTAAAAAACTGGTAAGTCGGGCTTCATCAAAAGTAGTAACTTCTCTTCTTCAAAAGACTCAATTAAGAGGATGAAAAGACAATCCAAGATTGCAAAAGATGTTTGCAAGTCGTCTATCTGATGAAGGGCTTGCATCCAGAATATATAAAGAACTCTCAAAACTCAACAATCGTATAAGAATCTAACATAGCATGTGGGCTTCCCTGGTGGCTCAGATGGGAAGCCACCTGCAATGCAGGAGACCTAGGTTTGATCCCTCCGTTGGGAAGATTACCCTGGAGAAAGGAATGGCTATCCACTGCAGTATTCTTGCCTGGAGAATCCCATGGACACAGAAGGAGCGTGGCAGGCTACAGTCCATGGGGTCACAAAGAGTCAGACACGACTGAATGACTAACACCTTCACATAACATAACAAACAACCCGAATGTGCCTAAGATTTAAACAGCCACTTGACAAGAAGTGATGAGGATGGAAACCACACACAAGGACTGCAAAACACTTTAGTCACTAGAGAAATGCCAGTTTAATCTGTCCCAAGATTCTACTGAACGCTTATTACAATGGCTAAAATTTAAACATTTAAATCAAGTGGCCGTTCTAAGTGTTGACAAGGACACAGAGCGAGAGAAATACTCATACACAGTGCTCACGGAAACGTCAAATGGCATCACCACTTTGCAAAACAATTGGTTTTAAAAAACAGTTAAATGCACATCAACACAAATGGCCCAGCCATCCCACAGCTAAGCTCTTACTCAAGAGAGATGGAAGCACATGTCCACACAGAGACTTGTGTGCAAGTGTTCACAGGCGTTTTATTTGTAAGATCCAAATGTCCATCAACCGGAGAAGGGGTGAATAGATGACGCTCTATCTATAATGATGGAATACCAGTCAGCAAACAAAAGGAAATCACTGACTCAGGAAACAGCACAGATTCAACTTAAATACGCCGGAGGGAGGAAGGGACCCAAAAAAACAGTCCTTATGGTGTGGTGCCATGAATATAAAATTCTGGGAAGAATAAAGGATCTGCAGCGGGCAGACAGTGGCTGCCTGAGTGGGGCGGGATAAAGGATACACAGGGGCATGAGGAGGCATGTTATCTGAACACAAGGGATGTTATCCTCACAGTGCTGTTCTGTGACCACAGAGACCTCCCAAATTGTGCATTTCACACCCGCGCAGTGTATGGTTCATCGATTAAACACCAGTAAAGCTGTTTGTAAAGCAAGGGCATGAATGGCAAGATAATGACAGAAAATAAGATCAGCTTTATGTGGGTGGGAGGGTCACAAAATGTCCTGCAACCTTGTTTTTTTCAGCAGTTTTTGGCTATCCTGAGTCCCTATACATTTAGGAACCAACTGGTTGAGCCCTTCAAAAAGCCAGTTAGAATTTCGGTTTGAGAAGAATTGGCATCTTCATGACACTAAGACTTAAGATCATGGATGTGGTCTCTCCACTTCCTGCAGGCTTTTAGTTCTTCAGCAACGTTTTCAACATTTGTGTCTTGCACACAGAAGGCAGTTTGTTTTGGATCCTATTCTAAATGAAATTATTGTGAGTTTTATTTTACAGTAGCTTGCTACTGGCACACAGAAACACAACTGATGTTTGTATATCCAGGGACCTTCTAACTTCCCTTGTTAATTCTCGCATTTGTCTTGTAGATTCACTCAGATTGTCTCCATAGGTGATTACGTCATCTGCAGATAAAGCTCTTATCATTAATTTCTCAATTTCTGTGCTGTCTCCACGGTACACTAGCCAATGAGTACGAATCACCGAGGCCCACACTGCTGACCCTCCCCGCTTCTCAGCTCAGGGTGCCCTCCTGGGGTGTCTGCCCCCAGGAAGATTCCCCTCCCTGCTGAGTGCAGCTGCCTCGCTGGCGGGGGTCAGTACACGGCGGAACCCATGTCCTTCTGCGGTCACATAGTCGTGGGACGGGACCCTGCCTCCCAGGGATGGGCTGACGGAGCGCCACCGAGGGGGGCGGGGGCAGCGCGCCTCAGCTCACAGGGAGTCTCTGTCCGAGCTGGACAGGTGGGCGAGCATTCCAATGACGGGGCTCGGCTCACCTGGGGACGGGAGCTGTGGCTCGGAGCATACTCACCTGAGGAGAACAAGGGTTTTCTGAAGAATGTTCTGTTTTTCTCCAAAACCCCCAAGGTCTGCACTGAGCCCCTGCAGGGCTGCCAGAGGCTCCACGGGGCACCCCTGTCTTCCAGAACCTTCCGCGCCTCATGGGTCCGGCCAGGTCCCTGCTTCTCGGAGTGTGGTCCGGGACCAGCCGCAGCTCATCCCCCGGCAAGTTGTTAGGAAGGCAGGCCACCCACTCATGCCCCCAGCCCAGCTGACGGGGTCTCAGGATGAGCCCCGGCTCCACGGCACCCTCTGGGGGAAGCCGCTGGCTCCGAGCTCCCCTCAACACTGAACCTTGGGAATAACTCAGGCGTGCTCCCGCCCACCCGCCTCCTGCGCGGTCTCCGCAGCTGCCCAGAGGCACCCCGCCCAGCTCTCCACCGCAGACTCCCAGCCGTGCCCTCGGGAAACGTGGTCCTGGGCTCCCAGCTTCCTGCCGGGGGCGCCCGGGGTGTGGGGGGTGGGGGGACTCCCGGAGGTGTGACGGGAGGGGGGGATTGCCTGGCACCCGGCGGTGTGGGGGCGGGGGGGGGGACCGGGCGGCGACTTCTCACTCCGGCGCCCCCTCCTCCCCCCCCCCCGCCCCCCTCCACCCGGCGCCCCGCAGCGCGGCTCTTCCTCCTCTGCTCGCGTGCCTCTGTCCGCGAGAGGCTGGAGGGCGGGGCGCCCGGGCGCCCCCCGAGGGGAGAAGGCTGCCGCAGAGAACCCCGCGCTCCCTGAAGGTCGCGCCTGAAGCCATGGCTCTCTGGGTCCTCTTTGCACCGTGTGAGGGTGGGCAGCGAGCAGAGAGGGGAACAGAGGCCAGGACACTTCGTGAAGGTCGTGCGAGCCCGTGAACCTGGTGTCGGGCTTCAGGCGGGCACCCAGAGTCCTGCCAGCCCCCTGGGCACCGACTCTCCGAGCACCGGGTCAGGAGGAGCAGGGGAGCCATGCACAGATGACCCGTGGGCTCCGGGCCTCAAGGAAGGTGCAGCCATAGAGCTGCTGGCCCCTCACATCTAAAGCAAGGCTGGAGGGAAGAGGCCTGAGCTAGTGCCCTCGCGTCCTGCCAGCGCTCTGGGAGGCGGCATCCTCTTCCACCCTCCAGCGGCAGCGCCCCCGAGAGGCCCTTCTTCCCTGAGAGCATCGGCTCGCTGGAGGCCAGCTCTCCTGCACCGGCTCTGTCTGCCTCCAAGTCTGCACGCCCTGGCCTGAGCTGCGGGACCACGTGTCCTGTGTGTGTGTGTACGCTTAGTCACTCAGTCAAGTCCGATCTTTGCAACCCCATGGGCTGCAGGAGGCTCTGACAAGTTCTGAGCTGCTCCCTTGGAGAATGGGCCTGTTGTTGTTGTTTAGTCACTAAGTCCTGTCTGACTCTTTGCAGCTCCATGGGCTGTAGCACACTAGGGCCTGTTAAGGTTCCTCTTTGTTGTGGGTTGAACTGTGCCCCCAAATTCAGATGTCAAAATTCTAAGCCCCAAGACTTCAGGATGTGGCCTTAATTGGAGGTGAGTTCTTTACAGGGGTTGTTGAGGTAAAAGGAGGCATTAGGGCAGCCCTGATCCAATGTCACACACACATTCACACGCACACATTATACCTTGTGAGCATACAGGCAGAGATGGAGTGGTGCTTCTACAAGCCTGCGGTACCAGCAAACCCTCAGAAGCTGGAGGAGTCTGGACCAGACTCCCCCCCAACCCTTTGAAGGTCCAGCCCCTCCAGGACCTTGATCTCAGACTTCTGGCTCCAGAGTCAGCCCTGGTGGCTGGAGCAAGCCAGTCACATAAAGTCTTGGCAGGGACCAACCCTGTCACCTGGATGGCGACTCCTGAGCACTCTAGCTCTTCCCTCTGAGCTTGAGGTCGCACGCATCCCTCCAGCCAGGCACCTGCTGGCCTGTGTGGCTTGGGGACGGACCAGCATGTCCCACGCTGCTACCCTGCTCTGCTCCGTCCCACCCCGCTCCTCCACCCTCACCTGCAGGCGGCTTTCTGATACTCACATAGAACCTGCATTCATCCACCAGGGCTCCAGCCTCTCGAGAACCTCAAAGGGACAACCCTGAGGTCAGTGCATGGCCTTTGTCCTTTGTGGGTGGGGCAGCTGTGTGGGGGCACCCACGTGGCCCTCCGAAGTTAGGGTGCTGAGACAGGGCCACACCCAGCGGCGACCTCCAATGGGGCAGAGCCACAGTAGGGACAGTGGCCTGGCCACAGGCCCCCCTGGGCCCTGCGACTGCAGCTGGTCCACGGCAGACGGTGAGCAATTGCTCAAGGGTCAGCAGGACGGGACTGAGTCACTATCACCCGTGGAGGCCTCTGAGCCAGCAGCAGTCACTCTGAAGATAAACTCTGCGCCGAGTTCCAACGCCGTGAAGGCCGGCTGTTTAATCAGCTCTTAACCCCACAGGTTCTACCTGCACAGGTGCAGGCCGGGGGGCCGAGGGGGGGACCCCACCCGGGATGATGCAGGCACACCAGCATCAGGCAGCCAGCCTTCTCAGTCTTCTGCAGCCAGGCCGCGGGCCCAGCCCCCTCAGTCACTGTTCTCCTGCACCCCTGGGCCCCTCGTCCTGAGGCCGGGCGGGCGCCAGCGCCCCGGGACGCCCACAGCACCCTTCTCCTCATGCAGGTTAGCAACGTCGTGATGGGCCGCTCCTGTCTGGGTCTGTCTGGCACAGAGGCAGCAGCTCCGTCTGGGTGGGCTCAGGTCGCAGCTGGCCCCCACGGGGATCACCCGCCTTCCCAGGTCTTTCCATCTAGTGTGTGTGCTTGCAGACATACACATCTGAGCTGGCTGGTTCCACCCTGTGTTCCTGTGACCCTGTCCATCAAGCCCCAACCTAGGATGCCTCTTCTTTCTCGAAACTCACGATGTGGAGCGTCTGTAGGCAAACAGCCCGCTGGGATGGACACTGATCCTCACAGGTTCAAGGTGGCGCGTCACCATCTTGTGAAATCCCTGTCATCTCCCTGCATGCACATCCCCAAATCCATGCTGATGCCCTCCCCTCGGCCCAGGATGGTTCTGGAGGGTGGCTCTGGCGGGATGAGGCCCCAGCGGGGGCTGAGCCCTCATGAATGGGGCCGGTACTCTTATAAAGGTGTCTCCAAAGAGCTTCTGGGCCCTTCTGTCCTGGGGGGACTCGACTTTGTAAGCCACCCAGCCTGAGACATCTTTGTTACAGCAGCAGGGAGGCTGGGACGTTGAGTGTTGGGCCCTTCCCTCCTGCCTGGAAGGGTGGTTCCTGCCTGGCACCAGGTATCAGCCCCGGCCCGGGCACTAACGGCGTTCTGGGCACCAGGTACCAGCCCCTGGTGGGGAGGCTGCAGGAGGGGCAGGGAGATGTGGTCTCTGGAATGAAGCTGGAGCCCTGGGCATGGTGGTATTGAGGAGCCAGAGTGGTGTACAGGCCCTGGCAGAGGGACAGTGCCAAAAAGGGGCATGTATGTGGCTCAGAGTGCAGAGTGCGGTGTGGACGCCCCCCTGCAGGGGCCGCGAGGTGGGAAAATCAAAGCTTACACGGAGTGGGAGGGGGAGGGTGGCCGCCGGGGCTTGGGGGTCCGGGAGGGCTCCTCCTTGGGCAGAGCCAGGGTGCCACATACCTGGATGCACCTCAGGGTGCACCTGAGGGTCTGGGGCCTGCTTGGTGGCTTGGGAACTCCATCCCTCCATGTCCCAAATGTACAGTCTTGAGGGGGGGTCATCTCGGCAAAGATCCCAGTCCGCCTGGTCAGGGAGCAGGTATTGACCGCTGTGGTTTCCGGCCGTCCGGGAAATCGTTTTCCGATGCGAGTGTGATTCAAGCCCTTTGGTTCCAATCAATTCGCGCTCCAGGTCGGCAAAGCGCGGGGACGCTTTGCTCCTTGCCCGACGTGCGGACACTGGGTCCTGCGCAGGCGTCTCTCGGGCCACAGAAGGACGCGCATTTCCGCAGCCCCGGACCCGGGGCGAGGATCGGGTACCTCGCCTACCTGGCTCACAGCCGGAGGAGAGAGGGCGGAGACCGGGCGGGGTCTGAGACTGCCCACCAGGGCGAGGCAGGAGAGGGACAACTGGTCAGGGAGATGTCCCCAGGGCGCCAGACAGACTTCGGGAGGGGTGGCTGCGGGGGGAGGAGGCGACGGAACCGAGGAGAGAGTTCCAGACGACTGGTCTGGGGAGCGGGGTCGGTACAGCGTCAGGGTGGAGGCCGGTGCAGCAGCGGCTAGGGGAGAGGAAGCGGAGGGAGGCAAGACCCCCCTCGGTCCCCGCCCGCCGCCCACCTCCTTCCCCGTCGCAACTGCCCTTCCCGGGTTTCACTGGGGCGGAGCAGTGGGTGGGCCGAGGGAGCCCCAAGCTCCAAGCCGATGCCGGTGCGCGGGGCAGCTCTGGGGTGCAAGCTGGGGTGGGAAGGAGACGGAAAAGCGCCCTTCCTGAAGAAGGAAATGGCTACCCACTCCAGTATTCTGGCCTGGAGAATTCCAAGAACTGTATGATCCTTGGGGTCGCAAAAAGTCGGACACACTGAGCGACTTTCACACTTGTCTTGCGAGGCCTGGGACCACAGGCGTCCCGGGTCCCATGCGCCCCAGGCCCCAGGACGCTTGAGGCCGCGGGCAGAGCGCGCTGCGGGCCGGGGGACCGGCGCCGCCGCCCAGACTCCGCGGAGGATTCCCGCGGGCGGGGTGCCGGGGCGCGGGGCGCGGCCGCGCTCACCCTCCGCCCACCGGGGCGGCACGGAGGCGGAGCCAGGGCGGGCAGGCGCCCCCGTCGGCCGGCGGGGCGGGTCCCGGAGACAAGATAAGAGCCCTGAGCGCAGCGGGCCCGGAGCTGAAGCTTTCGCAGACGCCGGGTGGCGGGTCTCCAACGGCACAGAGGCTGGGCGCGCAGGTGAGTCCGGGCCACCCCCGTGGGCTGCGCCGCGCACCGGCGTCCCCTGAAGTCTGAGGCCCGAGGGCGCGGTCCCGGGCTGGAACCGTCGGGGCGGAGTGGCGGGGAGGCGGGGGGGGGGGGGGCCGCAGGCAAAAGTCGCCGACAGTTGGGGTGCACAGCGCACTGCACTGGGCAACTGGCCATCTGAAGGTGAGGCGGCCAAGTGGTGTGAGCCCGAGACGGGGCGCGGGGCTTGTGTGTGCTCCCCGTGGCCCCTGCCCCAGACCAGGAGAGGGCGCTGGGCAGGGGGCGGTTGTGCCTGGCTTCCTTGCCCAGCTGGCTCCCTGTTGAACTAGACCTGTGCTGGCTGGGGGCCACGTGGGCAAACGCGGCCCCAGACCCAAGCCCGGGTGGTTTTCTCAGTGTGACTTTTTCTCGCAGGGTTTAGTCTTTGATGTCTAAGACGGGGCAGGGATGCCCAGGGAGGTGGGGGTGTGTGCAGGCTCTGGGCATGCAGGCTGGCTGTAGGGGCCGACTGCAGCTCTGTTTCTGCCCTGGGCTCAGAACCACGCAGCCTAAGCACCACGTTTTGCTTCCTGTGCCCAAGCCTGGCCTGTGAGGCCGTGGCTTCGGGCATGAGGTGGGCTCACCCCAAATGCCAAGCTGGGGTTTCTCCGGCAGGTGGTCTCCGGCCCGCCTGCGAGGGCTGCCATCAGAGCAGTCTGCTGGGGTCTGCACAAGCCCCGCCCCCTCCCCTGGACCCTGAAGCAGGCCAGTCCCGCTACTCCTCCCCCCGAGTCCCTTCTGTGCCTCTTCATCCGTCTCAGGAATGTGCTGTAATGAGTTGTGTTGTGAGTTTCTGTTCAAACTCGGATGCAGAGGAAAGTCACCCCGTTTCCGCTGCCTCCTGCTTCAGAGTGTGAGTGTGTGTGTGTGTGTGTGTGTGTGTGCGCGCGCGCGCACGTGCACGCGCGTGCACACCTGCGAGTGTGTGCAGTTGAAACATCCAGACGCCAGAAGAAGTCATGTTTGAAGTTGCCCACAGCCTTGAGGGCCCACCTTGCTCTCCGGCGTGATTGTGTGATTTCTTCCATCCTCCCTGACTCACTACCCAGAGTGTCGTGAAGGTTACTAGGAAGTGATCTCCTGGATGAAGCCTCTCCGCGGGAACTAGTCCTGTGAGCCCAGTAAATCCCAACCGCATGCTCCCATCCCTGCCTGGGCCGTCCAGGGGCCACAGTGGATGTGGATGTGTAGCCGTTCCTTGAAGGAGACTTTTGTAATCGCTACTTTGAAACTTTGAATTCCTGTGGGTGACCCTGGTTTTAAAATTTGCTTCTGACTTTGGTTGCTGAGTGTAAAGAATGAGTGTGCACTGTTGTGAAGAATGACTGTGGAAAACCATTTGAAGATCGTCACATTACGACGGCAGTGGGGGGGGTGCGTGGAGGTAGCCTCTTGCGTTATTACTAAAACCACATTAGAGGTGACGCCACCCTGCACCTTATGGAATGGACTGGGGGATGGGGAGCGGGGCAGGGGTCCGAGGCCCCCATGGCCTGTCTCCCGACTCCACGAGGGGTGTAGGTCATCTGCTCACCCCGGCTCTGTCTCCTTAGGTGCTGGGACACCTTGTTTTCTGCCCCCAAAGAAACGTCTAGAGAGCCACACCTCCCTGCTCCCCCGCCTGGTGCATCGTAGTTCTGGCTGCTAAACCCGTGCATCCCTGTGTGTGTTTATCTTTCATGCTGGCTGAAGACCGAGAAGGTGGAAGCACGGGATTCCCAAGTCCAAGAGGCCATGAGTGAGGGCAGGTGTTCTGTGGCCCTGATGTCTTCCGTGGTGGCTCCAGCCAAGGAGGCCAACGCCACGGGCCCGAAGGCGGTGGAACTCGTACTGCTCAAGGGGCAAAACGGGGTGCAGCTCACGAACTCCACCCTCCTCAACCCCCCGCAGAGCCCCACGGAGGCCCAGGATCGAGAGACCTGGAGCAAGAAGGCCGACTTCCTCCTCTCCGTGATCGGCTTCGCCGTGGACCTGGCCAACGTCTGGCGGTTCCCATACCTATGCTACAAAAACGGCGGGGGTAAGTCTGTCCGCCTGCTCTCTGCCCTCCCACCTGAGGGCTCTGGAGGCTGGGCTCCGGGTTGGGGGGAGGGACGCGGTGGAGCAGGGCGCATGGATGTCCTGGAGCCCTACAGGGTAGCGCTCAGAGTGGTCTCATCCCCTGATGGTTCTGTCCGGTCGAGGATGCCGAGGCCAGGAAAGCAGGAGGGGGGCTGGAGGCACTGTGATTCTGCCTTCTGTTTCCCAAAGTGGCCTTTACTTTAGAAAATTCTCCAAGGCCCAAAGAACGACCTCTTTGACCGACCCGCCCAGTGTTCACAGTATGCGGCAGCCCTTGTGCTTGGAGCCCCGGGATGCCCAGGGAACATGTCTCCGCCCCTCCCCGGCCCCTGCCTCCCCTGCACAGCCAGCCCTAGAACTGTTCCATCTGGGTTCAAGGCAGAAAACTAAGAAATGGGCCTGGGTCACCCCCAGAATCCAAGCTGAGAAGCCAATTGGTTGGCGCTCGTTTCCCATGAGTCTCCTAGACGCTGCCACTCATCAGGGTCATTCCATGCCCCGCCCTCAGGGCTTCAGGAGGCTTCCTTGGGGAGGGCCTGCCAGGGCACCCGTGAGCAGCTGGGCATTTCGGAGCAGGCACAGAAGTCGATTCAAGACAGGCAGCCCTGTGGGGTCTCCCTGCCTCCCCCGCCCCTCCCAGGAAGAGCCATGGCAGAACCACCCTCCCGTGAGGCAGAGCGAGACAGCTGAAGACGGCTGAGCCGGTGGGGCCCCGATCTCTGTGCTCAGAGCGCAGTCGCCTGGAGAGACCCCAGCCCGGGGGCGGCACCTGCCAGCAGAGAGCTCTGCTGCAGCCCGACGGAAGCAGTCTGGCTTCCTGGGGGCCAGGCTGCGTTGGACCCCAAGGATCCACGGCTCACGAGGACAGACATCCCCATGGAGGAGAGAGAGGGGACCCAGGGCCGGCCGGGCGGAAAGCAGACAGCAGCGAGGAGCAGAGCAGCACCCGGGCCGGGCTGGTCCGCTCTGCTCCGGGGCCTGCGCGTACCTGGGGGGGGGCGGGGTGACTGCGGTTCCCAGAGGGATGTGTCAGGGTGCGGTGATATCGGGGGCCACGCACAGAGGCAGGAGGCCCAGCCCCCAGCCTGCAGGGAGCTTCGAAGAAGGGTGACAGCGGTCGAGCCCGGGACACGCGTGGATGGCGGCGCGCTCACTGGGATGACACTGGGCTGGCGCGTCCTCGGGTCCAGGCTGAGCGTGCTGGCGCGTCCCCAGGTGCCTTCCTGGTCCCCTACCTGTTCTTCATGGTCGTCGCCGGCGTGCCGCTGTTCTACATGGAGCTGGCCCTTGGGCAGTTCAACAGGGAGGGGGCGGCAGGCGTCTGGAAGATCTGCCCCATCCTGAGAGGTAACGGGCGGGACGCCCCACGTGCCTGGCAGAGGGTGGGCCAGGGCGGGGCGTGGGGCGGGGCGGGGCATAGGCCAGGGCGGGGCGTGGACCAGGGCGCGGGGCGGGGCATAGGCAAGGGTGGGACGTGGGCCAGGAGGGGCGTGGGTGGGGCGGGGCATAGGCCAGGGCGGGGCGTGGGGCGGGGCATAGGGCGTGGCGTGGCGTGGGGCGTGGCGTGGGGTGGGGCATAGGCAAGTGCGGGGCGTGGGGCGGGGCATAGGCCAGGGCAGGGCGGGGCGTGGGCCGGGGCACGGCTGGGGCGATTGAGCAGCTGCATCCTGGGCTGCTTTGCTGGGTGTCTAGGCACTTTAATGCCAGTCCCGCTCTAAAGATCGGTCACAACCGAGGGTTTGCGAGTGTGTCCTTGCTCCCAGGCGAGGCCAGCCTGCAGTTCCTGGCTGGTGTTGTTAGTCCAAGTGCTAACATGGTAGAAAAGGTAACACAGCCTCCTATCTGTATCTCTGTGACCTACTATCTGTCGTCTGTGTTAGTTCACTGGGGCAGCTATACAGAGTGCCATAAACTGAGTAGCTTAAATAGCAGACGTTTGTTGTGTCAAAGTTCCGAGGTCCGTACTCAAGGTGCTGGTTGGTTCCTTCTGAGGCCGGGGGAGGGGGCCCTGCGCCCAGCCTCGCTGCTGGGGTCGTGGGGGCCCGTCCTCTCCCTGCGTCTTCACGTGTGTCTCTTCATCCAGGCTCCCCTTTTTATGGGGACATCAGTCTCAGCGAACTAGGGCCCACCCTGACTTGATTTTACTCTGTAAAGACCTTGCCTTCAGTAAGATCACATTCTGAAATACTGGGGGTTACTAAAACTTCAACAAATGGATTTTGGAGGCCACAGTCCAACCCATAGCACTGTCTGTCCCCCACTTGTGTATCCATCCATCAGTCTATCCATAGGTCTGCCTCTCATCTGTCTGTCACCCGTCTGGCTATCATGTATCAGCCATCTGTCATCCGCCTGCCTACCAGACTTACCAGGTCTATTGATCTATCATCTGTCTCTGTTTCTGCCGCCCTTCTGCCTCCGGGCCACTGTGCTGCTGCTGAGGGGCAAAGCACACGTCCCCTGGGAGCCGCGCCAGCCCCAGGTGCCCTCGTCACTCTGCTGTGACCATGAGCAACCTGGCCCACCCAGGGACAGATTGTGCACAGCCCTGGGGTCAGAAGGACCAGCGCCTCAGGCCACTCTCCCTGGGACACAGAGCTGGGTCTGCTCTGGCGTTTGGTCAAAGGCGGCTCTGAGTTCCCCAGACCACAAGCAGAGGATTTGGTGTACAGAGTTGTCACCTTCAGGAGATCTCTAGCAGCCACCCATGGCCAGCTCACCGCCAGGGAGCAGCTTCTGAGAGGCGCTTGGAAGCCATGTGGCTTCCCGACTCTGCGGCTGCCGGCCAAGTCCACCGTGAGCCAGCTTCTCCCGGGGAGTGCAGGGGAAGGAAGTGCAGCGAGGAATTGTTCCCCGAGGACGGGATCCACCCTGGAGGAGGCCTTCGGAAGGGACAGCATGGACTTTGTCATCGCCGCTCCTGAGCATGTCTTCCGAGAGGGGCCGTGTACCAGGGCCTGTCTGTGCTGTGTGCTCAATCACCCCAGTCGTGTCTGACTCTTTGTGACCCCACGGACTGTATACAGTCCGCCAGGCTCCCCTGTCCGTGGGGTTCTCCAGACAGAAACACTGGAGTGGGTTTCCATTTCCTTCTCCAGGAGATCTTCCTGACCCAGGGATGGAACCCAAGTCTCCTGTGGCTCTTGCATTGCAGGCGGATTCTTTACCGCTGAGCCACCAGGGGAATCATTCCTGATACTAGATCTGTTTAACGTCTACACATTAGTAAACTGGAGTCACTCTTTCTGCTTTCAGGGTAGGAAGAGAGTTTTAATGAAGTGTCCTGAGCCCGAAAACAGCTTTTCCTAAGGGTCAGAAAACCTATGACAAACCGACAGCATATTGAAAAGCTGAGACATTACTTTGCTGAAAAAGTCCCTATAGACAAAGCTATGGCTTTTCCAGTAGTCATGTACGGATTTAAGAGTTGGACCATGAAGAAGGCTGAGTGCCAAAGAATTGATGCTTGAGAGTCCTTGGACTGCAAGATCAAACCAGTCCATCCTAAAGGAAATCAGTCCTGAATATTCGTTGGAAGGACTGATGCTAAAGCTGAAGCTCCAGTATTGGCCACCTGATCTGAAGAGCCAGCTCACTGGAAAAGACCCTGATGCTGGGAAAGATTGAAGGCGGGAGGAGAAGGGGTCAGCAGAGATGGTTGTACGCTATCACCGACTCAATGGACATGAACCTGAGCAAACTCTGGGAGCTGGTGAAGGACAGAGGAGCCTGGTATGCTCAACCAAGGGGTCTCAGAGAGTCGGACACGACTTAACAATTAAACAACAACAAACAAGGAGGGTTAGACCCACAAAAAAAAGCCAAGGCGATCCCTGCAAAAGTCACCGTGAAGACAAGCTCCTCCTGGCCACAGGCAGGCAGGACAGGGCTGGTGCCCACGAGGTCCCAGGATACTGATGCCCAAGCCAGTCCCAACAGCAAAACTGGGAAAGAATGTGGAAATGAGAGAAGTCTGTGTGGAGCTGGGTAAACTGAACCCCAGCAGTGGGACGCAAGAGCGTTGTCCACCCCCAAACAGGACCAGCCGTCCACCATGGGATGGACGTGCCTCCAAAGACTTCTCGCCCCTCCATTCTACTCCAGCGGTCAGGAGCCCCTCAAATTCCAGGAGTGAGTCTCCCAAATTCCAGGTCTTGTGACCCTGCAGAGGTCACTCTGACATGCCCAGGGGACTCTGGGTGGTCAAGCATGACCCTGGGAGACCCTGGATGGTCATGCATGGTCCTGCGTGATGCTAGGTAGACCCAGATGCCTCTGTCTGCCCTGAGTGGCGTGGGGGAGGGATGGTTAGTAAGGTGGCCGTGAGTAGCCTTTGATGACTGTAGGCAGCCCAGCTGGGTGGGGCTTGTCTTGGAGGCCTGGCTGGTCCTGGATGAGCCCAGGTGGCTGTGGGCGGCCATGGAGACCCTGGTCGTCCTCCGTGACTGTTAGTGGTCCTGTTTGGCTCTGGGAGACACAGGGTATTTCTGAGTGACCCAGGATGGCCTTCAGGGCCCTATTGGCAGGGGTGGCCAGGGGCGTCCTTGGGTGACCCTCAGTGACTTGGGACGGCCTTCGTTGACTTGGTGTTTTGTATTCTTGGGTCTCCCTAGATGGCCCTGGGTGGCCCAGGGTAGTGGTGAATTTTTATGATGGTTTTATTTGGCTGGTGGCCCTGGATACTCCTGGGTTGAATTGTCTTGGTGACCCAGGGTGGTCTTAGGGGACCTTATGTGAGCCTGGGTGTCCCTGACTGGCTGTGAGTGATGGCAGGCAGCCAAGGTGGCCCTTGGTTCTCCTGTGTGTCTGCAGGCGACCTCGGGTACCGGGGTGTCCATGGATGGCCATGCAGGTCTGGTAGGCCTTGGATGGTGTTGGAAGGGGTGGCCCTTCCTCCGAGACAACGGCGGGACCCCCCTCTCGCTCTTCTCCGGGCGTGTTCAGAGGCACTGCCTGGCTGCAGGAAGCTGGGTGCAGCTGCGTCCCGTGGGGAGGGGCGCCGCTGACGGGCCGCGCTTTCCCCCAGGCGTGGGCTACACCGTCATCCTCATCTCGCTCTACATCGGCTTCTTCTACAATGTCATCATCGCCTGGGCGCTTCACTACCTGTTCTCCTCCTTCACCACCGAGCTGCCCTGGACGCACTGCAACCACACCTGGAACAGCCCCCGCTGCTCGGATGCCCGCGCCCCCAACACCAGCTCCGGCCCCAACGACACCCTGAGGACCACGCCCGCCGCCGAGTACTTCGAGTGAGTGGGGTCTCCTCGCGGTCACCGTCCCTCGGAGGGGAGGGCGCCGGCCTGGGGTCACCCGCGGGTCTGTGCTGCCCCCGGACTGCGGGGAGGCGCCTCCCCAGCCTGTGTCTCGTCCCACTCCCTGGGCTCTCGAGAGGCTTCTTTCTGACCCCACCTCCAGCAGCTCAGCTCCGCTCCTGGGGGGAGACCTCGCAAGAAGGGGGACTGGACAGGCCCCCCCCCCCGCCCCCCGGGCCAGCTGCCCTTCCCCATGTCCTGAGAGAGGCCACTTCTCTTGAGAAAGGCATTCGCAGTGACTACTGCGGGCTCCTGAAGTTCCTGGTGACTGCAATCTTCCTTTAGGACTGAAATCCTGGTTGGGTACAGTCTGCTCATGTTCTAGGTGGAAATGAGTGCACTGACAATTTAGAAAAGTGAACCTCAGCCCAAAATATAATTCCGGTTTAATTGCAGGTGGGCACAATTTCAAAGCTTGTTTTCAGGTAGGAAACCGTGAGCATAAACACGAAGGCCATCTCACTGTGAAAGTGATAAAGTCTGTCCTGGAGGAGGTGATCACACATCTGGGGCAGAGCCACTGGCAGAGGGGCTTCCAGAGGACCCCTTTTATCAGCAGCCGGCAGCCCAGGGTGGTCTGAGGGGCGGGCCCTGTCCCACAGGGTCAGCAGAGCGGGGTGAGACCCCAGATGTGCAGGGCAGGACCAAGCCCTCGGTGTCGGGAGCATCTGTCGTGTGGGTGTTGGAGCGACCCTGCCCGGGGGACGAGCGAGTCCACAGACCTGCGGACGTCTAGGGTCTGAGGTTATGTGTTCAGATAGTCGGGGTCTCGTGCTCAGCTCTGGGGGCCCCGCGTGGGGAACATGTCTCTAGGACTGGCCGCTGTGGAAGGCCACAGCGATGGCAGGGACACAGTGCCAAGGCTTTGGGTGGGGGGCGCTGGGGGGCCTCCAGAGGGGGCCAGGTCCTTCCTCAGAACTTACCAGGAACAACATGGCTAGCACGCAGCTGGTGTGCAGTGGGACCTGTTTAGTTTTTCAAAAGAGACTCCTTTTGGTGGTTTAGGATTAGCGGGTGAAGACGTCTGGAAGGAGGGGAGGGGTGTCTGTGACGGGTAGGTCAGAGGGTCACTGAACGCCGCCTGCCTGGAGAAGGGGGGTCCAAAGCTGGGAGATGAGGGCCTGGTCTCCAGGAGCTCTCAGCAGCGGCCAGTGGGTTTCAGAGGAGGGCTGGAAACAGGGGTCCGCCTGGGGTCGTCCCCATCAGATCCACCTGAGAGACGCTGGGGCAGACATTCCCACGGGCAACGGAAACCCAGTACCGTCACCTGGGTGTGTGGTCAGGATCAGAGTGACAAGCAAGCCAGAGGTGGTAGGTTCCCCCAGGAAAGGATGGCAGAGTGTCACCAGTCGCTCCGCCCTCTGAGGAGTTTGCTGCCTGCTGGCTCATTGCCACGGGTCCCAGACTTAGGAGTGTCTCGTCCACAGAGCAAGGCCTGGGCTCCACGTGCGCTCCCCGCGGTCTGCTGTGCCCAGACCTGGTCTAGCCTTGACCTCAGTGTTAGCCTGTGATGGCAGAGAAGGGACCAGAAGGGGAGAGCAGACGGGCTATGGGCAAGTACCTGGGGGCGCCCCGCCCCCCAGACCGCCCACCCCATCCCACCACTCAGATGTCTAGAGACAGCTCTCACTGGAGCTAGGTTTGTGTTTCACCAACAAAACCGCGGCTAAGTTTCCAAGCTGGGTGTTTCCTACAGTTCTCAGATGGATTTTGGTGCTCTGTAGAACGTTCAGAAAGCTGTCAGAGCTGTGGAATGTGCCAGGTGAGGCCATCTGGGGACACTTAGGGGAAAGGCATGGCCACCCACTCCAGCAGTCTTGCAGGAGAGCCCAGCGGGCTACCGTCCACAGTGTCGCAGAGTTGGACTCAACTGAGTGACAAACACTTTCTTCACTTTCACCTTTTGTTTGGGAGGTGCTGAAAAAGTTGATTTATGTAAGTGATTTTCAGATAAGAAAAATAGAGGGGAAAAAATTGACTAGTCAGTGATTTATTACTGAGAATGCTAAAAGGAAAGAATATATGTGATAGCTGGATTAAAAAAAAAAAAAGTTGACTAGGGCAGTGTTTGGAAATCCCGTCTGGAAGAGAAGGCTTGAGATGGAAAGCTGCCCGCCCCTCCCCAGGAAGGGCTGTCAGCAGGAGCAGACATCCAACCATAGCTGGAGGTGATCCTGGGACAGAGGCTTCAGTCTTTGAAGGTTTACAATGCAGTCAAAGATCACTAACGACACAATCAATTATTAAACCACGCCAAGAATACCCCCAGGTGATCCCACTAGCAGTGAAGACTGAGTTTCCCTGAGACAAGCCCCAGTGACTGTCAGGTCTGAAAAGGTTTTCTGGAATTTAAACTCACCATATAAAGCCTGGTGGGCTACCATAAAGGCCAACGTAGTTATTAACACAATCAGTTGTAAAGCTGTAAGTCCTACAAAGTGCGAGCAGCCTTCAGAAATCCCAAAATAAGCCTGTATAACTCCAACTCCATAAACACTTATTAAAACCACCTTCACCTACTTTCTAATATACATTTACTGCTGTTCAGTCAGTCATGTCCAACTCTTTGTGACCCCATAGACTGCAGCACGCCAGGCTTCCCTGTCCATCACCAACTCCCAGAGCTTACTCAAACTCATGTCCATTGAGTCGGTGATGCCATCCCACCATCTCATCCTCTGTCGTCCCCTTCTCCTGCCACCTTCAATCTTTCCCAGCATCAGGGTTTTTTCCAGTGAGTCAGTTCTTCGCATCAGGTGGCCAAAGTATTGGAGCTTCAGCTTCAGCATCAGTCCTTCCAGTAAATTCAGGACTGATTTCCTTTAGGATTGACTGGTTTGAAAGCTATATATTTAATGCTACAAACTAGCCTCTAAGAGGCCACTTTAACTGTCTCCCTCATGTTTGATATGTTATGTTTTCATTTTCACTAGTTTAAAGTATCCCCTTGTGTGCCTTGTGATTTCTTCTTTGACTCACAGGAGATGTTTAGAAGTTTGTTCTTTGATTTTGAAATATTTGGAGGTTTTCTAGGCACATTTCTGTTATTGACATCTAACTTAATTCTGACTTGGTGAACTAATACATTTAAAACTTCATTATTTCTAAATCTACTGAGGCTTGTCTTCTTGCCCAGTATGTGGTTTATCCCTGGGTGTTCCACGTGCACTTAAAAACAATGTGTTTCCTGCCGCTGGTGGGTGGACGTGTCAGCTGGGTCGTGCCCGCTCCGATGTCCTTACCCTCACCTTGTCTGTCCGCCGCTGTGACAGGCGTGCTGAACTCTAGACTATAGCTCTGCATTTGCCTGCTTCTCCTCACAGAGAGGGTAGGCCTGTGTCTCCACTAGGGCTGGGGGCCTGGCCGTTCTGGAGCGGGGGACAGGGGTCCCCAGGCAGTCAGGCCAGGGCCTTGCTGCCGTGCCTTGCATGGGAAGGCAGGTCTCTGGGCCGGCGAGGGCGGGGAGGCAGCCCGCAGGACCGCATCCCCGTCCTCCGTAGGCGCGGCGTGCTGCACCTCCACGAGAGCCAGGGCATCGACGACCTGGGCCCTCCCCGCTGGCAGCTTACCTCCTGCCTGGTGCTGGTCATCGTCCTGCTCTACTTCAGCCTCTGGAAGGGGGTGAAGACGTCCGGGAAGGTGAGGGGGCAGGGCTTGCCAGCTGGGGAGTGGACAGGTGGCTGTGGTTGAGGAATGGTGTCAGGAGAGTGGTTTCAGCACAGGGGGAATCACAACAAAATATTTGTGCTGATGAAGATATTTCAGTCCTTGTCTGGGTGCCCAAAGTAACGATTGCCCAAATGCACCCATCACTTGGGCTAACACTCCTAGTCATGTTCCAGCCCCCGGAAGCCTTCTAGTGGTGCTATGCTCTGCCTCGCCCATGACCCCGAGTCCATCTTTCACACGTGATCCACACTTGCACAATCAGTGAGATGCAAATCACCCGCATCTCACTCATTGGAAATCCAGCCACTGCTGCCTACAGCCATGGCCCAAATGAAGACAGAGAAGGCCCCATCCCTGCCAGACTGTCCTGTTTCAATCCCCGGGAGAGACAAACAGGAAAGAGGGTACTGGGCGGTCCCGCTCCGGGGGCATTTGCTGAGCTGGCATCCTGGGACTGTCCGGGACACCGGGCTTGCCAATCCAAGGCCCTCTGTCTGAGCACATGCCATCAGGGTGAGCCTGTGCCCAGCCCTGCCCACGGTGGCCAGTGCAGTCGGGTGACGCGTGCTCTCCCCAGGTCGTGTGGATCACAGCTACCATGCCGTATGTGGTCCTCTTTGCACTGCTCCTGCGAGGCATCACTCTCCCGGGGGCCGTGGACGGCATCAGAGCGTACCTGAGCGTGGACTTCCACCGGCTCTGCGAGGCCTCGGTAAGTGCACCCTCCACTCACGGCCCGTCCAGTGGGGCTGGCAAGGTGGCCGTTAGTCTTTCTGCATCTCGGGCAGGAAACGCTTTGCGTGGGGTGACCTGCCGCGCCCAGCAGAGTTCACTGTCCAGGTGAGAAGGGGCCGTGTGGGCACAGCACGGAGATGAAGGGACCAGGGTAAGAGGATTAGGAGAAGGGGTCACCCCGGCCTCTGCGGGGAGAAGCCAGGGCAGCTGCCCCTTGGCCTCCTCACCTGGGCCATCCACTCCCTGGAGGAGCCCTCCTCAGATGAGCACCTGGGGGTGGAGGTGGGGCGCCGTCTGTGCCCAAGGGTGTTGTTGCCCAGCTGGACCGAAGCCCGAGCTCTGGCCCCGGCATATCCTGAGCTGGGCTGAGGTGCTAGCTTGCGTGAACCAGGCCCACCGCGGGGAGCCAGACTTTGTGGTCAGACACCCCGATGCCCACACAAGGTGGTGATGTGACCATCTCGTGGACAAACTCAGTCCACCGTCCGGCTGCGGGTTTCCTCAGCAAAGGACGACATCATCTGGGCTGAAATACCAGGGCTCAGCGGGGCAGTGGAGGGGGGTGGCCGGGGAGAGAGAGAGGAAGAGGTGGCAGGGTGACAGCCCCGGGGGGTGGGGGTGGTCACTGGCGGGAGAAGGGGCCATTGGAAATCCAGGTGGACCACACTCGGGCAGCTCTCTAGACACGGGGCCCCAACAGCCACCCGGGGAGACTGGGCCACTGGGAGGGGCAGTCTCGGCTGGGGCGTGGGGGCCCCAACGCTGCCAGGTTGTGAGTCGGGGGCAGCGCTCATGGAGGGGAGGAGGTTCCATGGGGTGGAGGGCTGTGAGCAATGGGGGCAAAGCAGAAGAAGGGGCAGTCGGCAAGGCTGTGAGCCCCCAGGAGCCCCGGGGGAGGAGAGATGCAGAGTGGAGGCCGGACACTGAGGAGCAGAGAGCGGAGGGCACCTTGGCCACGGGCCCACAAGCCCACAGGGGGAGGGCAGCCGTGGGCGGCCCCGGGGAGCCCCCCAGGCAGCCCACCTGTGAAGCCCGTGAGAGCTGCACACGTATCTCCACGGAGCCAAGGGAGACGGACACGGGTGGCTAGGGGAGCGTGAGGTCAGTGGGGGTCCCGGGGCCCCACCGCAGAGCGGGGCCCAGGGCGCCGATGCATCAGCGGAGTGTCGTCCTCGGGAAACCCCACGGTGGGTGAGGTGTGCTGGTGGGAGGAGGTGGCCGTGGTGTCAAAGGCCGGGTGGGGTGTGACCTGGAAATCAGAGAAGAGTCAGGTGTCAGGGGGAAGAACGTACAGAACAGCTATCAGCCGTGTGAACAGATTCGTCTGTGAAGCAGAAGGAAGTGGAGACCAGAGGTTGACACAGGTGAGGTTGATAGGCAGACGGATAAGACAGACAGACAGCAGAGTTCAGATGGATGGATGACAGGGAACAGATAGGCAGACAGTGGATGGTGGATGGATGACAGACGTCAGTGGCAGGCAGTGAGGAGTGGGACTGCCCTGAGTGTCCCCTCCTCTAACATCCTGTCAACTTGGGCAGGAAGGGACAAAGTCAGGACAGAGCGGTGCACAAGCGCTGGGTTCCTGGGAGCCCTTGGGCCCAAAGGCCTGGTCCCTGCACCCCCAGCTCAGAGGGCAGAGCCATTCCTGTCAACCCCCCCCACCCCCCCCCCCGCACAGGGTCCTGGCTGACCTTTGCACCGCCACCTCCAGGACAAGGCAGGGGTGGGCCTCACCAGCTTGGTAGCCATCCTGTGCTGTCCCCTGGGCTGCTCCAGGCCCAAGTGCTGCCTGGTCACCCTCTCCCCAGGGTCAGGGTGGCCTCCCTCAGAGGTTGAGTGGCCCTGGAATCTTCCTGGGGGCTGGGCAGTGTGAGGGCAGGTCCCATTAACTCCCCTGGGATGTGATTAGGGGCTGGCTCAGATTGGGATGCAGGGCCCCAGCACCTTCCCAGGCTGCCTGTCCCCTGGGGGTTCAGAGGTAGCAACTCAGTCCAGGGGCCACAGTGGGAGGCCTGGCCAGGGTCCTCTCTGGTCCAGGCCAGGGGGATCGGAGCGAGCGGTCAGGGCAGAAGCGCCGTCAGCTCTGTCCCCTCTCGTGTCCCTGGCGCCACAGGCCCTGTGCTGCTCTGACATGGAGACGGACCTCCATCTCCTGGGGGCCATTTCTAGGTCCCCATGGGGGCGAGGGCGCCCCCTTTCGGGTCAGTGCCCCGTCCTCGGCCGTGTCCAGGCTCTCGGCCATTCGTCTGCAGCTCTTGAGCCCCTCTGCTGGGCAGGTGGGGTCTGGGGTGGGGCCTGCACTGTGCTGTCCTGGGGAGGGGGGCTCCACCCAGCAGGGGGAATGAGTCCAGGCACTAAAGGAAGGGCCGGTCCGGGTCGGCCCCAAGAGGCTGCCCGGCGGGTCCCAGGGTGGGCTGTGGGCGGGACCCAGGCTGGGTCCTGGGGCAGCAGTGAGCAGGGGCCGGGACAGACGGCCGGGAGGTGCCTCTGGGTGGGTGAGCCACACGTGCTAAGGCTCTGGGGTGACCACCGGCCACAGAGGACCTGGGATCGCAACAAGGCAGGGGCCCCCAGTCCCCGGCCACCAGCCCGTGTCTGCAAAAGCCTGCTGCCCAACGACCAGCACCTTGACCCCCTGCCCACCCAGCCACTCCAGGCCTCGAGCTAAAGCCTGGTCATGCTATTCTCAGTGTTGGGGTGACCCAGAGGCTCTGGGTGTGCTGCCCAGAGGACTGAGCCACATTGGTCCTGGTGTAAGGGCTCCGTGTCCAGCCCCCTCAGTGGGTCATGCTCAGGTCAGCTGCCCTGTGTCCCCAGTCAGGGGCTCTGAAGTCACAGCTAGGGAACCTGGCCTACAGGCCTCATCTCGGGCTGGGGGACTTTGGGAACAGCCCCCAGGACCCGCCCATCCCCACCTTTCACACAGTGGGCCTGGCCCATCCCCGAGGGCAGGTGTCCGCTGTCCTCCTCACCCCCGCCCCAGGCTCTGCAGGGCCCAGGGGCGCCCACATCATCATCACCGGGTCGTAGGGTGGTCTCTGCACCACCCTGACCCAAGCAGGTCGCGTCCGAAGTCTGAAATAGCGCCTCGGTCCAGTATCGACCACATGGCCTCATTTGTCACGTGTGTCAGCTGCCCGGCTGTCACCTGTGCCACCTCCAGCGAGTGCAGAGCTTTGGAGCCACGTTGGCACCACGGGCCTTTCTGCGTGTGCCGTAGTGGGCTTCCGCGGGAAGGCTGGGAGGCGGGCGCTGGGTGGAGGCACCAGCGTCACACAGCCCTGTCATAAATTCCTGCTCTTACCCGAGTCGTGGGTCCACTGAAGTAACCTCAGGCCCCGCACCAGGACGCAGCCCCCTTCTCCTCAGGCCCTCTCAGGTTTATTCCCTGAGGTGACATTTGCTCACTGACAGTGATGCCAAGTTTAAGTATGACTGTTCCTCAGAGCCCGTGGCGCTGAGGGCCCAACCCATGACCCCACCTCTCCCCAGGCTGGCCGTGGCCCCACGGGGACCTCTCCCGTCAGGGACGGCTCACCCCGCTCCGTCTCCCTGTGGGGCCACTCACCCCGCTCCGTCTCCCTGTGGGGACCGCTCACCCGGCTCCGGCTCCCCTCAGGGCCTGCTCACCCGGCTCCGGCTCCCCTCAGGGCCTGCTCACCCGGCTCCGTCTCCCTGTGGGGACCGCTCACCCGGCTCCGGCTCCCCTCAGGGCCTGCTCACCCCGCTCCGTCTCCCTGTGGGGACCGCTCACCCCGCTCCGTCTCCCCTCAGGGCCTGCTCACCCCGCTTCGTCTCCCTGTGGGGACCGCTCACCCCGCTCCGTCTCCCTGTGGGGACCGCTCACCCGGCTCCGGCTCCCCTCAGGGCCTGCTCACCCCGCTTCGTCTCCCCTCGGGGGCCTCTCCCTGTGGGGCCGCTCACCCTGTCTCTCCGCTCCTGCAGGTCTGGATCGACGCAGCCATCCAGATATGCTTCTCGCTGGGCGTGGGCCTTGGGGTGCTCATTGCCTTCTCCAGTTACAATAAGTTCACCAACAACTGCTACAGGTGAGCCCCGGGCTCTGAGAGAGGCCTGTGGAGTCCCGTGGGGGCGACTGACCTGGCGGGGGGAGTGTCCCTGACTGGGAAACTCTGTGTCCCTGGGTGAGCGGAGGGGAAACGAGCTGTGCTCACAGCCCCTTAACCCGCGCATGGAAATGAGACGGGAAGCAGTGGGCCAGGGCTAGTTCCTGCTGAAGGGAGGCTTTGAAGCAGGAAGACGCTGTCTCCTCCCTGGGGGAGGCTTCTCGGGCCCCCCCAGACCCCTCCTCTGCCCAGCTCAGCCACCCCATCCTCCTAGCATCCAGGGTCCGGCTCCTCACCCCTGTCCCCCACAAGGAAGGGCCTGTGCGTGTCCCCACCTGGCCTTCACTGAGGGAGCCGGGGCCCCGGGGCACCCCAGACCCCGCGGAGCCCCCCGCAGAGTCAGCACCGGGACAGGCAGGAGCGTGGCCGTGGCACGTGCCAGAGCCCCAGCAGCCTGCCAGCCAGCACGGCCGGGCCCAGGAGGACCTGAGCGGCCTGCAGCCACTTGCCGGCCCAAAATCCTTCTAAAAACACAGAAAGGATTTCCTCCGGGACTGCTTTCTTTGACCTTTGAGCCAGTATTTGTCTTCTTTCATATCGTGAGGATAAAAATGCGGTTAAAAATACAAAGGCAGTGTGCGCAGCAGAATGGCCAGACTGACCCCTACCCAGAGGTCCACACAGAGGTGGTGTCTGGATGGCAGGCCAGACAGCGGCTCCCGAGCTCACCCTGTGCCCACCCGGGTCTGTGAAGGTCCTTGCACTCGGGCACCTGGGAGGGCTGGCCCCACAGTGCCCCCTCCCTACTCTGAATTCTCGGCCCTCAGAGTGGGGTCCCCGGGCCAGCATCCCTGGACCCCCAGGCATGTAGAGGGAACACAGCATCGGGGGCCCCCCAGACCCACCACGTCAGCACCTGCATCTTAACAGTTTCCTGGGAGGCATCTCCAAGCCCTGCCTGGCAGCCCTGTGGGTCATGGTGGGGAGCCCGTGGTCACCTGGGCTGCCCACCGAGCCCAGCTTTGCCTGTGCGATCGTCTCGCCATCAGCGCTGAGTCGAGAGTCCCAGGAGCTCCTTGGTCCCCAGGCAAGCGTTGTGGCCAGCGCCCAGAGCTGCTCAGCAGGGGGTCCAGGTGGGAGGCTCACCGCTGTCACCGGGCACCAGCCTCCCTCCAGCAGGGCAGCCCAGGACAGGCTCTGGGGTCACAGGAGGGGCCGGCCTGCCCGTCTGGGGAGCGCCCCAAGCCCGCCGGCACCAGACAGCCAATTACGAATAATGACGGGAAATTGCAGTGGCGCCCGGCCGGGCTGGGACAGCGTGTCTTGTTCCTGCAGAGACGCGATCATCACCACCTCCGTCAACTCACTGACGAGCTTCTCCTCCGGCTTCGTGGTCTTCTCCTTCCTGGGGTACATGGCCCAGAAGCACAGCGTGCCCATCGGGGATGTGGCCAAGGACGGTGAGTGGTGAGGTCCCTGCCCGCCTGCTCCCGGCCGCCCAGTTCTCAAGTGCTTCCCTGGCCACCCAGTTCTCAAGTGCTTCCCTGGAAGCTGAGAGGGACGTGCGCGGGCGCCCAGGGCCCTTCCCAGGAACAGCTGACGCAGCGGAGAACAGGGTACCTGGGCACACAGCACCCACCGCCTCCACGCGCTCCCAGCTCCTGCCCCCTCGGGCCCGCCTGCCGGACGTCCAAGGCCGGGTTGAGGTTGGTCCTGCAGCCACTCGGGCTGCAGGGTGAGGATCCGGTTCCCCCCACCTGGTGGGGGATGTGCAGCTGAGGGCTCGGAGCCGTTCCAAGCAGCACAGACGCTGGACCTCGGTGTGATCAGCCAGAAAGAGGCTGGGCTGGTTTGGACACCAGCAGTTACTCTGTTCCGAAGCTTTTCCCCCAGCCCTCCAGGGGCCTTGGCATATACACATGGGAGTAGGGTAATAGCAGAGAAACCCCCGGAGTCTCTGGCACACGGTGGCGACAGAGACCCCTGTTCCCAACCTGCTCACCCAGCCGATGCGGATAGGAGTGTCCGCAGACGAGGGGTCAGCAGAGGAGAGCGGGCAGCAGAGTCATGGGCACCAGTGACTGGCGACACGTGGGTGACATGGGGAGCAACCTGGGCCAGCAGGAGAGGACTGGGGGCCCTGGCCCAGAGCAGGGTGCTGGAGGGCCCTGATTGCTGCGCCCTGGGCATTCCGTGCTGGGGGAAGGTCTGCTGGTGCTAGATCCTGGGTGGAAGGCATGACTGAGGCAGTCTGGAACTGGGTCAGTTCAGGACCTGGGCCCGAAGTCGCTGCTGGCCCCATTGGCCTGCAGGGTGCTCCTCTCTTCCTGGGTGTTCTCACTCTTGAGCAGGAGGGTGACGTTGGCAGAGCAACCAAGGAGAGCAGGGGCCTGATCCCACTGGCGCCCTGAGCGCTCAGCGGGTCAGCCCATCAGTCCATCTGTCGAGTGTGGGAGCCCCACTTGGAAAGAGTGGGGAACAGAGTTTGGAGCCGGGCGGACAGGCCCCTCTGAGTCTGGCAGAAAAGCTGGGGACCCGGATGGATTTCCACGTGCTTCCAAATCCACTCTCCTCCAGGAAAAAAAATCCAATAAAGGCAGGAAAGGGAACCTAATGCAAATAAGGACAGAGCAGTGGAATTTACTCACCATTGCATTTATGCATTTTCACCAGCTTTTGCCCTTTATTATGATAAATAGCAATAGTTTGCAAGAATCCCCATTAACCCCTGAAAGTTAGCTGACCGTCTTCATTGCATTTCCCAGAAAAGCAAAGTAAATGTCATTTATGGCTCTAATTCTCAAGAAAACAGGGGGAAATATTAACCCAGGAGCAAAAATGAGAGGTGAGGATACTGGCCTTAGTCCAGCCAAGCTGATGGGCATCTTCCAGGCTCCTGGTGCTTAGACTTTAGGGCTTTTCAAGCCATCCTCCTGTCCCACCCGCATCAGAAACTTCACTCCTTCCTGCGGTGTTGGGAGCCCCAGAGGCCAGGTCAACACCAGGCCCCCTGACAGACCTTGGAGGTGGAGCCTGGCTCCAGCCTCTGATGCTCTAGAAGCATCAGTAAGTGCCCGTTCCTGTCGTTCCTATCGGCTGATGCCTGACCCAGGCCCCACTGAGAATGGGGAACCAGGAAAGTGGTAAGTTGTGCGTGCATGAGCAAGCTCTCAGAGGCCACGCAGCACTTCTTGTAAAACTGATCCTGAAAGTGATCAACTGGCAGTTTCCTGTGAGGGTACTCTTTGCTCTGGGGTCATTTGCGGTCAGAGTGCCCGAGTCCTGACCGCTCCCACCCCTCCCCACCTCCACCCAGATCCCGCCTGCTGGGGTGAGGGAGCTGGCGTGGCCCCCGGTGTCCCCACTCCCAGGAGTGTGGGAGACAGTCCGAGCGGACAGAACCACGCCGTGTTGCAGGGAGCACGTGGAGAAGCCGCGCTAAGTTGTGGCATCTCTGTAACAGCACGTGGTTTTTAAAGATCACACTTAAGAGTCGTATGCTGGCACAGAAAAGAATACCGTGTGGGCTGCCTGACCGCAGCGAGCGTGAGTGTGAGTGTGCGTGTGTGAGCGACAGGCACAGGAAAGCAACCGGGAGGCCCCCAGGGTCTGGAGGGAGGAAGCACAGGGCCCCCCGGGCAGCCCCTCCCGCCCTCCCCCTGCTGGGGTGCCCCCTCTTGTGGGGGCACAGGCTGTGGAAAGGGTCGAGGGCTAGTGGGGACAGAGCAGAGCCCTCGCTCCAGAGTCCTGGGCCCTGAACTCAAGGAGGGAGGCCTTTGCAAGGAGAGCAGTTTTTGCACCACCTTAGGGCCGGGTTGTGGGCGGGGGGTACCGGGAAGGTCAGCCCGGGGTAACCGGAGGGTCTGCTCTCAGGGCCTGGGCTGATCTTCATCATCTACCCCGAGGCGCTGGCCACGCTTCCACTGTCGTCCGTCTGGGCCGTGGTCTTCTTCGTCATGCTGCTGACCCTGGGCATCGACAGCGCCGTGAGTGATCTCCATGCTCCGTGTGCCCTGGGGCCCCGCTGGGGACAGCTAGCTCACCTGCCGCCCTCGGGGGCCAGCCTGGAGACTCCCGGGGCCCCACAGTTCCTGGGGAGGGCTCTTCAGACCAGCTCTCCCCTGCTGCCCCTGGGAGCGGGGCGAGTCCCTGGCAGTGGGGGGAGAGTAGGGTGCTGCAGGAAATGGGGGCCACACAGCACCCAGCGAGGCCCGGCCTGACTCCAGCTTTGCCTGCCCCGTGGCCGCCAGCATGGGGGGGTGCCCTTTCAGGGTTGGGGGGGCAAAGGCTCCCACCTGGCCCACTGGACATCCATCCTGTGGTGGCTCTGTGGGTCCTGGGGAGGCAGACTCCCTCATGCTCCTCCTCCACGTGGCCTTCTGGGCACCAGCAGCTGAGATCTCAGGTCCCGTGTTCCCCTCCCCCCAGCTTCCTGGAAGGAGGAAGGAGCCCCCAATCCTTCCCCTGTGAAAGCTGCTTCTCCCAGTCAGCCTTCTCACCCGCCCCCTGGGTGGACACCACCCATGGTGGGTGAGTCCCGCCAGCCCCAGAGGAGGTAGTCCCGAAAGAGCAGGGCAGAGGCTTCTTGGAGGCCAGACTTCCTGGAGACACCCCCTCTGGACAGTGCTGAGAGTCAGGAAGGCCGCATCAGTGAGGACACAGCCAGTGGCCAGGCCAGGCCTCCTGGGAACAGAACTCAGCTGTGCCGTGGGGCAGACACTTGCTTAGAGAAGCCGGGTGGAGCTGAGCCTTTGTGGCGACGCAGGGGGTGGTGTGACTCTGGCCCCGCAGCTCCCCACCAGAGGGCGGGACGTCCTCCGTCTCCAGCGGCCGTGTCGGGGGAGCAGCCCTTGGGGGCCGGGGGTGCTCTCTGTCCCCCAGACCCCGTGCGGCTCCCGGCTGAGCATGTGGGTGGAGACGCCCGTACAGGGGAGCAGCCCTTGCGGGGGGTGCTCTCTGCCCCCCGGGACCCCATGCGGCTCCCGGCTGAGCACGTGGGTGGAGACGCCGCAGGCTGCCCCCAGCCCCCGCTCTGTCCCGGCTGCAGATGGGCGGCATGGAGTCTGTGATCACCGGGCTTGCCGACGAGTTCCAGCTGCTGCGGCGGCACCGGGAGCTCTTCACGCTGCTCGTCGTCCTGGCCACCTTTCTCCTGTCCCTTCTCTGTGTCACCAGCGTGAGTGCCCTCGCCGCCCCGGACGCCATCTCGTGAGCGCCTGCTGCGGCAGAGCGGGCTGCCCCCACCCCCAGCAACAACCCGCGGCCTGTGATGACCCACGGGTGTCCGTGCTCACACACGCCTTGAGTCAGGCAGGGCAGCGCCCATGGCCACTCAGAGCCCCTGTGGTCGCATGCAGGCCCCGGGCGCCTGCGGGCCTGGTCCCCAGTGTTTCAGCACCTGGATAGCTCCCTGCGAGCCGCCCTTGGTTTTGTGGGGCAAGAGGGTTGGGGGGCTTCCCTGGGGGCTCAGCTGGTAAAGAATCCACCTGCAATGCAGGAGGCACTAGCTCGATCCCTGGGTTGGGAAGATCCCCCGAGAAGGGCAAGGCTGCCCACTGCAGTGCTCTGGCCTGGAGAATCCCGTGGGCTGCGTAAGCCCCGGGGCCACAAAGAGCCGGACACGACTGAGCGCCTTTCGCTCTCACCGGGCTTGGGGCAGGCCTCTCCGGGCCGGGGCCCAGGGCCCCTGCAGCACAGAGGCTCTGCCGTGGTCGGCATGTGCCGGCTTTCGTCCCTGACTGTGCCGGGAACCCTGGACACGCGGGGGAGAGGCTGGTTGTCTTGTGATAGCCGGGTCCCCGCGCGGCTGCTCGCGGGCTGAGCTCAGGTTCCTTTCCTGAGCGACAGTCGTGGAGAGAGGTGGAGGGCGCCTGTGAGCCGGCGCCTCAGGCCAGGCTCCCGTTTCCGGAGGGCCTTCTGCGGGCTCCCCGAGCTTAGCGGGCGCCCCCCGTCCCCACCCCGTCCCCACCCAGGGCGGCATCTACGTCTTCACCCTGCTGGACCACTTTGCGGCCGGCACGTCCATCCTCTTCGCGGTGCTCACGGAGGTCATCGGGGTGGCCTGGTTCTACGGTAAGAGCAGAGCCCTCAGTGGGACGGCGCGCTCCCACCGGTGGGACCAGCGCCTCTGCTGCGTTCTGAGCGGCCAGCCCAGCGTCCTCGGGCTGGTCACTGGGCGCCCAGCGGCCCTGCGTCGTGGGCAGGCTGGCATCACAGAGTGGGGCTTGGCCGAGGCTGTTCGGTTGGATCTGTGAAGGCAGTGAGCTCGGGCGGCGCCCTGAAGCTCCCCCTGTGGTCAGGGCACTCGGTGTGATCCTGGGCTGGGCCTGGAGGAGGAGGACGCGCTCGGCTCTGGGTGCCGCCTGCCGGTGGAGGCAGCCTCTGCGCCCCGCCGAGCAGAGCCCCGGCACCAGGGAGGCAGGGCAGCTGGCCGAGGGGGTGTGTCACTGGGCACGGGTCACCAGGGCCCTGAGCTGATGGGAGGGAAGAGACACTAATGTTCAGCGCGTGCGCCAATGCTCAGTCTCAGGCCAGAGCTCCTGACTCCGCACGACGGCTCTACCGGACTCCTGACCCCCTCTCCCGGGTCCAGCACTCATCCGTGCGTTAGGACTGGGAGCCCCTCAGGGTGGGGGACCAGCTGGTCGCCAGGTGGTCCCCAGAAGAGGCCCAGCCTGCAGCTGTGTGCCCCTGCCCCTCCTGCATGGCCACCGTGTTTCCCTGGATGTCCTGATGCAGGTCTGACAGCAACAGAAAGCCGCCCTGCAGAAGCTGTGTCCTTCCCGGCCCACCACCCGTAAACCCCGGGCTAGCTCTCCGTTTCTCTCCCAGAGCTTGGGTCCTGGTACCGCTTGGCTCACCTGACCAGGCGTTCTTGAGAACATTAGCCATGAAGGCCCAAGATAACAGGCATACTTCTTGCATGTGTGTGTGCTCCGGCCAAAGCCAGAGGTCTGTGCTGTTCAAGAACCGCAATCTTGAGGCAGCCCTGGTGCCACGTGAGGGGTCACGACCTCTGCTTCAGCCCTGGAGTTATAACCCAAAAAGCACTCTAGCGTTGAGAGGCTTAACAGATAAATAGTTCGTATTCCAAGAACGTTTTTCCAATTACATTCCCTTTTCTACAGAAAAGGGAAATATCAGCCTCTCTCTACTTTCACCGGCACCTGGAATCAACACGTCATCTACAGTTTTAGATTGTAATCTCCCCAAATCAACCCTAAATGTCCATTGGAAGGACTGATGCTGAAGCTCCAATACTTTGGCCACCTGATGTGAAGAACTGACTCCTTGGGAAAGACCCTGACACTGGGAAAGACAAGGCAGGAGGAGAAGGGGACGACAGAGGATGAGATGGTGAGATGGCATCACCAACTCTATGGACCTGAGTTTGAGCAAGCTCCGGAAGATGGTGAAGGACAGGGAGGCCTCGAATGCTACAGTCCATGGGGTCGCAAAGAGTCAAACACGAATGAGCAACTGAACAACAACATCCCAAAATAAAACCTCAGAGAAAGAAAGTGCCTCAAAGGTACCCAGCAGCCATGAACACCGCAGAGCTGGTGGAGGCCCAGGGGCGCTGGCCTCGCCGCGACCACACGCTCCCCAAAGCCTCTGAAGGCAGGGACCGGGCTTTCTGCAGAAAGCAGTTCACAGCCAGAGCACGCCAGCCTCTCAGTGCCCTGAGGTCCCTGTGGTCTCCGGGTGGGCCGGCACGGGAGGGGCTGCCTGTCCCGGACCTGCCCGGGAGGCCCCGGGGGACACCCCGTCTCTGCGGGCCTTTAGGTTCAGCCTCCACCCTGCCTCCTCACTCCCCCTCTGATCTGAGGTCTGGTGATGGGGCCGGGTGTGAAGAGGGAATCCTGCATGGAGTTGTCTCTCTGATGTCCCTGTGTGTGACGTGAGACTGTCCGCAGGGTGGGAGAAATCATTGTGAGATCTGGAGAAATTGGCCCATCCAGCTTCTAGCAGGAGCTTTCCCTACCATATGATGATTGTATACGTGTAATGAGATATAGTTCAGCCCTAAACAGTGGGACACTCGGACAGCTGCTCCTGCCTGGGGGAGTGTACAGGACGCTGTGCTCGGGGACACGAGCCGGTCACAGAAGGGCAAATCCCCCGGGAGGTCCCTGGACGGGCCAGGGTCACAGAGGCTGGAAGCAGGACGGGGAGGGGCCGGGCCCTCAGCTGGGGAAGGTGAGGAAGGCCTGGGGATGGTCGCGGGCACGGCCGCACAGCTGACTGTGCTTCAAGCCGCTGAGCTGTGTGCGCGCAGTGGTTGACACGGAAAGCTTCACGTTATGTATGTTTTACCGTGAATTTTGTAAAGGAAAAAAACGTTCATTACAGAGGGGAGGCAGGGGTGGCCGTGGGCCTCGGGGAGGAGGGTGGGAGCCCCACAGGCTCTCCCTTGCGGCCGTCAGTGACGCAGGGTCACCCTGGGGACGTGCACAGGCGCGGGCGGCGTGACCCCCCAGGCGGCCTGGGCAGCACCGAGCGCCGGGCTCCGGGGGGGCGGGGGGCCTGTCTGCGGGCGGGCCGCGTTGACGCCCTGCCTGGCCCCCTGCAGGTGTGTGGCAATTCAGCGACGATATCAAGCAGATGACCGGGCGGCGGCCGAGCCTGTACTGGCGGCTGTGCTGGAAGTTCGTCAGCCCCTGCTTCCTCCTGGTGAAGCCCCGCCCCCTCCGCCCCGCCCACCCTCCGCCCCCTCCGCCCCGCCCACCCTCCGCCCCCTCCGCCCCGCCCACCCTCCGCCCCCTCCGCCCCGCCCACCCTCCGCCCCCTCCGCCCCGCCCACCCTCCGCCCCCTCCGCTCCGCCCCCTCCGCTCCGCCCCCTCCGCCCCCTCCGCCCCGCCCACCCTCCGCCCCCTCCGGCCCGCCCCGGGGCCAGCGGGGGCGCGTGTGCCTGAGGCTGGGGGAGGGGCTCCCCGCTGTTACAGGACAACCTCCCAGGGCGGGAGTCCGCAGGTTGGGCGGGCTGGCCCCCCAAACCCTCGGGTCTCCTGAAGGCGTGGCCCCCACCCTGGGCCCACCGAGGCAGCCGCGCGGGCGGCCAGGGTAGTCCTCGCCCAACTGAGGCCTTTGAGCGCGGAGGTCGTCAGCCGCTCTCTGCCTGGAGGCCGGGGAGGGCAGTCAGCCTCGGGGTCAGTGGGCGCTCGGCCGCCAGGCGGGACGGGAGTGGACGGGGTTCACTCACAGCGCGAGCCTGGGCCTCCCCGACACGTGCAGTGGCTGCTCCTGGTCTGGGCCGGGCTGGGCAGGCTCAGGCTCGGGGGCAAGTACCCCTGCGGCCTGTTGCGTTGGAACCCGGCCGTGCGTCCACACCACGGCTGCAGGGCCGGGTGGCCGCGGCCAAGTTCCGGTGGCTCAGGACCCCTGACTGTCCCCCCTACCCAATGGGGCCGTCCAGCCCTGAGCACAGAGGCCAGGCAGGTGGGGACCAGCAGATCTCAGCCCCCGCCCCCACCCAGCCAGCCCAGCCCCCCGGGTGTGAGGGGATACGGGCAGCCCCAGCCCCCAAGGGCCAGCAGGAGAGCACGTGGAGCGGAGGCGAGGCTCCTGGTCCAAGCCCACTCAGGGGTCAGCGCTCCTGCTTCCAGACAGCGAGGTGTCCTGCTTCTCCCCACGTGGTAACCCGGGGATTACGGAGGGCAGCGAGAGAGCCCCTCCCATCAGCCCTGAGACGCAGGGGGATGTGCCCCCCAGCGCCAGGGCCTGCTGCCTCAGGCCGTCGTGTGGGGGAGCCTCCTCCAAAGTCCCCGCTCAGGAGCCCCTGGCCCCAGCTGCCCCTGACCCTGTTGCTCGGTTTCAGTTTGTGGTCGTGGTCAGCATCGCGACCTTCAGGCCCCCGCACTACGGAGCCTACGTCTTCCCCGAGTGGGCCAACGCACTGGGCTGGGCCATCGCTGCGTCCTCCATGTCTGTGGTCCCCATCTACGCCGCCTACAAGTTCTGCAGCCTGCCTGGCTCCTCAAGGGAGGTGCGTACCTGCACGGGGCCCCCTCTCCTGCTCTCCCCTGTCCCCCTCTCCTGCTCGAGGCTGTCGGCGAGGTCAGGTGGGACTCGCAGGCCTACTCCCACCGGCTCGTCTCGGACCAGCAGGAGAGTCTGGAGTGGGCGGTGACTATGCTAGGCATGAGGGCTGGGGGTGCGGGCGCTGTGCCTGTGTGTGTATCTACACCCATGTGTCTCTCTGGGTGTGTCGTGTGTGTGAGCCTGTGTGTCCTTACGTGGGCAGGCACATGTGTGTCCTCGCCTGTGGGTGTCTCTGGGTGTGAGCACGCCCGCTCTGCATTGTGCGGACGGTCATGGTCTCAGGGTCGGGACGGACTCGGGACCAAGCCCACCCAGGGCTGAGCCAGGGCAGTGGGGCCGCCAGGCAGGACCCCCGTGAGGGCGGAGGTGGCTGGGCCTCTGGGTCAGGCCCACTACTGTGTCCCCTGCGGAGCGGGGTGTGGGGGGTGACCTGTGACCCGAGCACAGGGGTCTGTCTGCCTCCCACTGTGGCGCCGGGATTCCTGGAAGAAGAGATGGAGACCATAGCCCCACACGTGCTCTCGGAGCCCTCAGATGCTGCTCGGTGCCCGATCCCAGTCTCTCTGAGGAACACGGGGAGTGAAGCCCCTGGCTATACCCCAGCAGGTCCAAGCGTTCCCCGAGGGCCACGCGGCATCTCTCTGGCTTGGATGCAAAGGCGGGGGCCCCTCACTGGCTGGCCCCCGGCCCGTCCCTCATTGTCAGGCAGGCCCAGCCCAGGCCCCTGCGGCTGCAGCAGAGCCGGATGGTGTCAGGCAGTGGAGGCCCCGCTCACAGCCCCCTCGCTGGCCTCCAGGGGGCAGCCCTGCAGAGAACTGGCCCTGGGAGAGACCCCTCTATGTGGGCTGGGGAGGGGGGCCTGCAGGCCAGTGGGCTGGACCTCCCGCCAGCCAGACTCTGCTCCCTAGAATCTCAGCACTGAGGTGGGGGGGGGGGGACAGTGATAACCGGAGGGGATGCCCGGCCCCAGACAGTCCATGGTCCAGCTGCTGAGAGGCCCGGGGGGAGCTGTCCAGGGGGACAGGCAGCGGGGGGGGAACCAGCGTCCCCTCTGGCTGTGAGAGATGGACAGTGGGGCCTCCTGACCCCCACCCCGCGGAGCCCCAGGAGCTGCTGGAGCCTGCGGGCCTCGGTGTCCGCAGGGTCCGCCACCGAGACTCCACGCCCAATCCTGGTTCCCTCCGGTCGGCCTGGACTTTGCTCCAGGGTCTAAGGAGACCTGGCCGTCAGCCCCTGCCCTGCGTGTCGGTCACCCCAGACCAGCCCACTGTGCTGGGCCGGCACCCACGGCAGCCCCTTCTCTTCTAGAAACTGGCCTACGCCATCACGCCCGAGACGGAGCACGAGCGGGTGGACAGCGGGGAGGTGCGCCAGTTCACGGTGAGTGCCGCGGGGGGCTCCTCCCACCCCAAGACACCAGCGGCGGCCACAGGCGCTGCCCGGCCCAGTCCCTCCAGCAAGTGGACACTGGCTCAGACACCCTGCAAGGGGCATGGCTGGGCGGGATTAACGGACAGAGAACTTCACTTACGGAGACTGCAGGGTGGCTGACTTGGCGCAGGACACACTGTTCGAGCTTTGTCTTCTGTCTCCTTCCTTCCAACTCTGATGTCTTTATTTCTTCTACTTTCATTAGTCTACTCTGTCACACCTTAACTAACTTCTTAATTTAGACACTGGATCATTAATTTTCAACCTTTCTTCTTTCCCCACATAAGCATTCAAGGCTAAGAATTTCCCACAAAATACCCTGGTGGCTGCATTCCATAGCTTTTAACATAGCATTTTGTTTATTATTTAGTTCTAAACATGTTTTAGTTTTTGTTGTGACTTCTTCCACCCATGAGTAGCTTGTAACTCTGTCTGAAACCCCCAAATACATGGGGATGGTCTATTTTTTGTTATTCTTTTCTAAATTAATTGTATTGTGTTCAGACACCTTTTTACCCGTTCTTTGAAGTCTGTTAATGCTCCGTTGTGGCCAAGTACCTACCCAGCTTTTATAAATGTCGCTTGTATCTTTAGATGAGATGTCTTCTCCAAGTGTTGATACACAATTCTCCTTCTGTCCATTAGATCAGGCTGGTAACTGTGTTGTTCAAATCTTCTGCGACTTTGCCCATTTCAGCTCTGTTCGGCCGTCAGTAATCAGGAGACATTTACGGAATATCCTACCGTGAAACCGTATTTGTCCGTTTTCCCCTGTAGTTCTACTGGATTCCACTTTATCTGACCTGAACCAGTTTTCTGGGACTGATATGGCTCAGGATTATCAATCTTCCTTGTAACTCAGCCTGTCCTCTCGCCCTTGAGGTACTTTTGCTCTTAAAGTCCTTTTTGTCTAGAGGACTATAGCTGCACAAGGTGTCTTTAGAGTTTACGTAAAATGTCTTTTGTAATCTTTTAACTTCCAACTTTGCAGTCATCCTAAAATGTAGGTGTCTTTTGCAAACCTGGAATACACTGAAATATTTTAGTCTGGCAATTGGGCAGATTAATCTTTTTACCATTGTTGTGATTACTGATATAGTTGGGCTTAATTCTGCTATCTTTTTAACTCTGTTCCATTTTTTTGATGTCTATTTTTCTCCTTTATTGTCTTTTATGATTGATTTTGGAGGATTTGTTTTCTTATTCTACTCTTTCCTCTCTATTTGTTTGAAACTTATATGCTTTATAAATTTTATGCTTGTTTTTAAAATTGTACTATGTGTATTTCTTTTAAGATTTTTTTGATGCAGACCATTTTTTAAGTATTTACTTATTTGGCTGTGTGTGGTCTTTATTTGCTGACACAGCTTTGTCATGTGGGATTTTTCATTGCAGTGCACGGACTCTCTAGTCGTGGCAGGTGGGCTCCAGAGTGCACGGGCTCAGTAGTTGTGGCCCCCAGGTTAGTTGCTCCACAGCCTGTGGGGTCTTAGTTCCCTGACCAGGGACTGAACCCATGTCCCTTGCGTTACAAGGCAGGTCTTACCCACTGAGCCACCAGAGAAGTCCCTGTAACAAGCATATTTCTCTTCAAGTATAAAGTTAAGCATTATATGAACCCCCATCCTGATTATCACAAGGACTTAAATTTTCCTCCTATTGAGTAATGATACTAATAATTAATAATTTTGGTGTTTAGTCGCTAAGTCATGTCTGACTCTTTGTGACACCGTGGACTGCAACACACCAGGCTTCCCTGTCCTTCACCATCTCCTGGAGCTTGCTCAAACTCTTGTTTGTTGAGGCAGTGATATCATCCAACCATCTCATCCCCTGCTGCCCTCTTCTCCTTTTGCCTTCAGTCTTTCCCAGCATCAGGGTCTTTTCCAGTGAGTGAGCTCTTAATTAATAATGAGCTATTGTTAGCCAGTGTTGCATTTATGTCTTTTTTAACCCACAAATTAGGCACTGTTACTATTGTTGTTATCGCTGTTTTCTCCAGAAACTCCTCTGGATGAGTGTGCACGTCCAGTGTTTATTTATTTGTTCACTGTACTTTTTGGCATCTACATCTTTCCTTGAAAGATCAATTTCTTGCCTCTCAAAAAGTATCCTTCAGACGTTCCTCTAAGGGAGTGTTTTTTAATCTGTTTACTTTTAATTGAAGCATAATTGCGTTACAGTATTGTGTTGGTCTCCACCAACATCGTGTATCTGTGAGTGTCTTTACTTTGCCCTCATTTATGATAGAGTTTGTGCAGGCATGCGGTTCTCGATTGAGTTACCGTCTCTCAGCATTCTGACGACAGGGCTTCTCCACCTGCCTCCCCACAGTCCTGCTGGGACGGGAGGTGGGCGAGGTCTCCGGTGGGCGGGGTCTCCATGTCCTGTGGGCGGGATCTGTGTCCTCTGTGTTCCTGGGACCCGTCCAGCTTTCTTTACCTTTGGGGCTGGTTGCAGTCTCCCTGTGATATGTCTGAGCACAGATTTCTGTTATTTGTATTATTACAAAACTGTTATAAGTAGTTTTATTTACGTATCCCTCCCAGAACATTTTGTGTGTCCGGGGTCTGTAAATTCTTGTTGTTAGTGAGTTCTGGGAGTTTTGCAGCTGAATGTTAAACCTCACCCCTCGCCTCTATGCAACCGTCCTGGGCTCTGTGTGTGATCGTCTCCCTGGCCCCTCGGGGTCTCATCCTCTGCCAGGGGTCCTTTAGGCTCTGTGTCCAGGTGCTCCATTGTGCATTGGCCTCCACGTGGCTGTTTCTCATTTATTTAACCACATGACAAAATACACCCTTGTGAACGACCGTGCAAGCCCCGCCTTGACAGCAGTTCACACCCCCCTCCCCGCCAGCCTTCCTCTGCCCCCGGAGTCAACACCATCTCGATGCAGCTGGTCGTCTCCTGGGCCTTTTCGGCTGCGTGGTTATGTGCCATCTGTGGGTACCGCTCAATTCCTGAGAAGTGAACTGTTTGGTTTCCGTCGTTTTTAACTTTATTGAAAAGGCTTCATGCTGAGTCCTGGAGCTCATCTCTCCACTGAGCGTGGTCATGCACCAGGATTCATGCTTCTTATACACACAGTCCCCCGAGCCTCTTGGAACTGTGAGTTTACAGTTCTCAGTGTATTTGGAAATATTTGCTGTCATTTCTTCCATTTTTTCTGCCTCATCACCTTCAAGGGTTCCGGTTACACACTTTAGGCTCTTTAATTCTCTTCCTCTGTGTGTTTCATTTCGCGTGCTTTCTGTTGCTTTTAGTTCATTAGCTTTTCACCTCAGTAAAGCCCTATCTGCAGATAAGCCCACCCGGTGGATCTGTCATTTCACACACAGTAGTTTTCACCTCTAGAAGTCCACCCTGGACATTTTATGTCAGTCATGCCTCTGCTTAACTCTCTGGATGTGCAGTGCAGGTATGATCACTGTGCAAGGCCTTCATCTGCCAGTGTTAACATCTGTGTCTGTTCTGGGTCAGCATCAGTTGACTTTTCTCATAAGATGTTGAATTTTGCTGATGCCTTGCATGTCTAGTCATTTTTAACTGAATTCTAGATATTGTGAGTTTTACCATGTTAGAGCCTAGATATATTTGTGTTCCTTTATATATTCTTGGGGCTTCTCTTGTAGCTCAGTGGGTAAAGAATCTGCCTGCAATGCAGGAGACCTGGGTTCAATCCCCAGGTCGGGAAGATCCCCTGGAGAAAGAAATGGCAACCCACTCCATTATTCTTGCCTGGAGAATCCCATGGACGGAGGAGCCTGGAGGGCTGCAATCCCTATGGTCACAAGAGTCGGACACGACTTAGCGACTAAACCACCACTAGATACTCTGGAGCTCTGTTCTGGGTCATCACTGAGTTACTTGGAGACACTTTGATCTCTGGGGGACTTGCTTGTGAAGACTTGTTAGGTGGGACCACTGCCGCATAGGATGTGGGGCTCGCTGCGCTCCTGATACTGGAGCAAGACCTCGGGGAACACTATAGTCAGCTCCCTGAGACCCATGAGATGCTGCCGCCTGGCTGTGGGGCAGGCTCAGCTCCCAGTCTCTAGGTTTGGGAAATGTTCCCCGAGTCCTGCTGGGAGGGTCTCTCCTGCCTCGAGTGCCTGAGCATTCAGCTGAACCCTGTGTCCCCGTGTGGATACCCAGGGCTCTGAGTGCTGTGCCCGCCCCTCTGGAGCTCCGTCCTGTGAACTGCAGCCCCCTGGGGCTCTCCCACGCTCACCCCATCTCACTAGCCCCCGGGTTCACTGCCCCCCCCCCCCAGGCTCCCCGCCCCACGCTGCTGCTGGAAAGTCCCTGGAGGCTGCGAGAGGGAGCAGCTGGATGCCTCATCCTCCTGGTCTTTCTCGGCGTCTCTGTCCTTTGTCATCCAATCTCCTGCTGTCTGAAAATGCATTATATATATATTGTTCATTTTAAGTGGTTTTGGATGGTGGAGTCTATTAGGTCCCCGTTACTCCATCTGGACCAGAAATACCATTGTTTCTCCTTCTTTTTGGCTGCGCTGCACAGCTTATGGGATCTTACTTCCCCATCTAGGGACTGAACCCAGGCTCTCGGCAGTGAAAGCCCCGAGCCCTAACCTTGGACCACCAGGGAACCCCCGGACCAGGAGTCTCTTTGTCTGTCTCTCTGGCCATTCTCTCTGGCACTGCCCTGCCCACCCCCCGTGCCCCCCCATTGTAAAAGCTCCATCACCACCCGCTTCCTGTGCCCCTTCACTGACAGGGGCCTTGTTCTCGTCTTGCTCAGGAAGCAGCCTTTGACCTCTGAGCTGTGCGGCTCTGTGGCCGTGTCCCCGCTAAGCCGTCTTTCACATGGCTGCCCAGCACCCTGAAGGTCGCCAGCTCTCTGGTCCAGGGGCCTGAACTGGAGTTTCTGGCTCCTGCTGCCCGCTGCTGTGTTTCTGGTGTGCTGGTCGCCGGCTCACGGCTCGAGCTGCCCTTGTGGGACCTCTTCTCCCTCCCAAGAAGGTTGCCTTGGGCTCGTCCGTGGCTGGGACAGAGGGCCACTTCATCCCGGGGCTGGGTCCCAGCTGGGAGTCCCCAGTGTGCCCCCCACCCCGGCCTTGGCGCTGGCCTGAGGTCACCACGCAGCCACCGTCCCGGCCCCGGCCCCTGCTGCTCCGTCCCCACCAGGCCCTGTCCTCTGGCGGCCTTTGGGGCTGTAGTGTGTCCTAGGCTGGTCCCCAGAGGGCGGGGGAGGGCCCTGCAGTGGAGCCGCCCCTCCCCCTGCCCCCTCCAGTGATGGCCGGCACTATCCGAAACAAGCCCTGCACGTCTTTGTTTGGAAATGCTTACAAACACTCCGTTCTTGCCATTTAGTGGCTTGTGCTCAGAAACAGGCTGAACTAACAGCTGGGTGATCACAGGCGATGACATCTGTGGACAGCTAAATAGGGGCCTGTCCACCTCACCTGTCCCCCGAGCCGGGAACGAGGCCGCATCCCGCACCTGCGGGGTCGCACAAAGCAGCCGGCACTGCGGGGCGCGGGGCTCCCCCGGGGCGGGACCAGAGGCCCCATGAGAGAGGCTGAGGGGCTTGGGGCTCCCCCGGGATGGGACAGGACCGGAGGCCCCAGGAGAGAGGCTGCGGGGCGTGGGGCTCCCCCGGGACGGGCCCGGAGACCCCAGGATGAGGCCGCCGCCGGGGGCCAGGGGGATCACAGGTTGCAGGCGGGCTGGCGGTGTGCGCTCTGGGACCCTCCCAGACTTGCGGCGTCTGGTGTCTGCCCACAGCGGAGGCCACGGCTCCCGGGGCCGCGGGGCCACGTTCTGGCCCCTCGAGGCCGCCATGCTCTTTGTGAAGTGGTGACTTCCCTCCAGGAAGCGACCAGGGTGTCAGGTCTGTGGTGCCCAGGAGCTGCCCTGGTCCCCACCCCCTAGCTACGGCAGGGCCCCCAGCCCGGGAGCTGCCTTTGTCCAAGGGGCACCTCACTTCATGTCTCAGCAAACCCTGTTTCCTTTGCAGCTCCGCCACTGGCTCGTGGTGTAGGTGGATGGAGGAAGAAGACCTGCTGGGTGCCATCGGCGAGGACCAGGGCGAGGAGGGCCGCCCCGGACACGCACACATCTTTCCCTGGATGGGCCGCACCCTCTGTGCCCGGGGGGATGACCCGCCGTCCACCTGTCGCTGTGTGACCCCCTAGTCTGTGCTCATCCCGCAGGTAGAAACCACTGCGCTGTGTTCCATGTGTTAGAGCCGCCGCCTGCCCCCCGCCAGCCCACCAGGGCCCCCTGGAGCTCAGGCTACGCTGCAGGTCCAAGTGTGGAGGAGAAATAACAATAATTATAGGTTACGGGTTCTCTGCTGAGAATCCCAGCGCTCACAATAGCTTCCTAGACCCTCTGTTTTGCTCATATTAAAAAACCCAAGTGTCATGTGTGGCCTTCTTGTGCAGCTGTGAAATGGGAGAAGCCACACAAAAGGTGACGCAGCATGTCCACACGTCCCCACATCACATGGGTCCAGTCCGAGCCCCCACGGGCAGGGACCTGGGTGGGAGGCGGAGGTGCTGCCTATTTCCTTGTAGCTGAGAGAAGATTCAGTAAAACCTGTGTGGACCCCTACTGTCCCGCCTGACGTGGGTCCCAGTCAGCTCGCAGTCACCGCACCGCAGACCCCCAGCCACAGAGAAGGCGAGCTTGCCAGGAGCAGGGGCGCCCCTGCGGCTTAGCCTGGACCCCCAACCTTAGGAGGGAGGCCTCGCCGGAATCTCGGCTCTTGGAGGCACCTGTCTTGGCAGCTGCAGCTCTGCTTTCCTTAGGGAATGGCTTTCAGAGGCACATTGAGCCGGGAGTCAAACCCGCGCTTAGAAGGGGGGGCAGATTACTGAAGCCCGTTGGCCGACATTGCTGAGGTTGCTGGAAAGGATGTCAGGCTCTGGCGCTGCCATCTGCAAGGCGCATGGCCATTGTCCAGGGACGCCCTGCTGGCCGTGTGCCTGGGGCCACAGGGAGTCGGGCGGACAGGCCCACAGAGCCCTCTCAGCCGTCGCTGGGAGCGGCCCAGGCCCATGGAACCGGCTGCTCAGGGGAGCCACGGGTGGATTGGCGCGCGGGTGCGGGTGTGGCCAGGAGGAGTCAGGGCCCCGTCCTTCCCAGGAGGGCTGAGCAGTCATAAGAACACCCATGGTGTCCGCGTCCGTCTGTGTTCACGGTGGCCTCTTGTGTGCTTCCACCAACAATAAAGAAACCCGCGGGAGATGGCCGGGGCTGTGTGGCCACGTTCCTGCCCGACGGCGTCTCGTCCAGGTGGCCACCTCGGGCCCCAGACCCCCTCCCTCGAGAACCCCCTTCACTCACCTCCACCTGCCTAGAGGGCACACAGCCCCAGCCTCCCAGGTCTGCTGGGCTCAACCCGACCCACCCGTGGCCCCGCTGCTGTGTCCCCCTGTCCCCCATCTGTCCTTCCTCTCTCTCAAGCCCCCGTCTGCCCAGTCAGCTCCCCTGCAGGCTCCCCAGGGGTCCAGACCCCGGCCAGGCCGGCTGACCGCGGCTACTGCCCAGCCCGAGCACTTCTTCCGGGGACATGGCAGCCGAATCCCGAGTGGCTCCCTGGCTTTGGTCCCGAAGGCTCTCTCTTCCACCCTGGAGAAAGAGGCCCTTCTAGACGCCTGTCAGCTCTGGCCACAGCCCAGAGAACAGCCCTGTGGTTGGTCGTTCTGCTCGGATGTCACCTCTGGGGGTCTGCTCTGACCTCTGCTTCCGGGTTCTGCCCCTGGTCGGTGCTCATGAACCCCCACTCTCCCCAGCAGGTTCCCATGGAAGGGAGAGTGCTCACTGTCTCCCCAGTTTGAGCAGGAGCTCCCCCAGGAGCAGGGGCTGAGCTCATCTTGTGTATTTCTGCCAGTGTCTTAGAGCTGGTACACAGTGGGCATGGCACTCGATTTATATTTACAGATGAGTGAGTTAACAGGGAGGGGGTACGGGTGGGTGGGTGGGTGGATGATGGGTGGGCGGATGGATGGGTGGATAGAAGGAGAAAATGGAGAAAGGAGGAAGAGAGGAAAAATGATGGGTGAATGGATGGATGATGAGTAGACAGATGATGGAGAGATGGATGAATTGATGGATGGAGGGCTGATGGGCAAGTGGTTAGAATGATAGATGAATGTTGGATGGATAAATGGTGGATGGATGGATGAGTAGATGGATGGATGGATGGATGGATGAGTAGATGGATGAATGGATGAATGGATGGGTGGGTGGGTGGATGGATGGATGAGTGGGTGGGTGAATGGACGGATGGATGAGTGGGCGGGTGGATGGGTGGGTAATTTGTGTGTACTTGAGTGGATGGACAGGTGGGTGGATAGGTGGAAATAGATGGTGGAAGTTCTTCTATTACATCTAAAGGCTGTCATTCTGGTCCAGTCTCACACATCCCAGTGGGGCTAGCCACCTGAATGCTGCGTTTGATGTCTGTTCTCCAAGGGGAGGTCATGCTCTTTAATACAAGTGAAACATGTCAGTCTTGAAACACCTGAGTACGTGTTTTCTAACGGCTCTGAGTGGGTGCAGAAACCAGCTCCTGGGCGGGAAGAGGCCACCTGCACCCCTGCTCTGTCGACGGGAGGCCTCGATTCCTCCATCCACACTGCACTTCGTCATCGGACAGATGCGCTTTGCCCAGTGACCTTTAGAAACAGTCTAGGTGTTACAGCCCAGAAAAGCCATGTGATTTTTCCTTGGAGAGGAGCATTTTAATAAAGGCTGGGCAACAGTGAAATCGGTGCTTTAAAGGGTAAACGGATCCCTCCGTGTTTGGCTTTCCTTGGTTTTGCTCCACAATCCCTGCTTAATCTCTGTAGGCGCACCTGACCAGCATCTTTACCCATCTCCTGGTCAAGGACAGCAGGAAAGGTCACCTTTTCTGAGACTGTTAATTAGCAAGCCCCATGTTCTATGGTCCTCCCCGGAAGATGCTGCCATGTCCTGACCTTGAGAGACCGGCCTGCTTCCCACCTTCTGCCCCCTGCAAGGACCCCCAGGGCCCCAATACCACCCACAGAGTCTGAAGCACTGGAACCTCCCAGCTGCCCAGGGTCCTGCAAACCAACCCCTCACCACGCACGGGTACCAACTGGCCACATGGAAGGTCCATTCACCTCTGGGAAAACAAAGCAAAAGCTGACAGTCACACTGGCCGCCTCCCCACCCTCTGACCTCAGGTGACAGACAGGGCCAGGCGACTGGGCTGCTCCTTCCTGGAGCCGCAGCCATTCCACAGGATGGGAGACATCAAACCACTCTGATTTAGTGGGTCTGACTTGACTGTTTTTTTTTTTCATTTTAACAAAATAGAAAATATCAGAGTCGGTGCCCCTGACAGGGGCAAGTTCTGCTTTATGAAATATGTTTCAGGCGTGTACCTTATCTGCCTGACAGAGCATCAGAGAGAGAGAGAGCTGGAACGTCAGAGGCAGAAGTGACGGGACGGGGAGAGAGACAGGCCCTGCAGGTCGGGGTCTAAGGTGACCCCCGCAGCCCCCTGGCCCTGCAGGAGGGCCCTGCCTGCAGCCCCCTCTGCGTCCCTCCTCGAGTGCCGGCGGGCAGCTGCCATGTACACAACAGAGCTTAAGAATCGAGTCCGTATCGACTCGGCGCTGAACACACTTATCTAGAATTTGAATAATTTTTACTTATTCCAGGAGCTGAGTTCCTCTTGTATGTGCTAAGGCGTTTCACTCATGCCTAACTCTTCAGGACCCCACGGACTGCAGCCCTCCAGGCTCCTCCGTCCGGGGCCTCTCCAGGCAAGGCTACTGCAGTGGGTTGCCACGCCCTCTTCCAGGGGAGGGTCCCAACCCAGGGATCAAACTCCAGTCTCATTGTTTCCTGCATTGGCAGGCGGGTTCTTTACCACTAGCGCCACCTGGAAAGCCCAGGTTCCTCTTTGCTTCAAGTCATTTGTTGCGTAGGCGAGAGTTCCATCAGAGGGGACATTTCTCTGGGTTAAAAGCGGCCTGCTTCTGTATTTACACAGCGGTGTGCTTGACTGGCTTGATCCTGCTGGATCAAAGGTTAATATCTGGAGCAGCTTTTCAAGAAACATATTCAAAGACAGTATTACGATCCATCAGATGTTATATGCTCTGATATCCTTTAAGCCTTGTTCACACAGAGACTAAATGTAAACTTCTAAACCGTTCTATTACACCAGAGAAACCTTAGAGATGGAGGTCTCTTGCAGGTCCAGCTCCCCAGGGAGCCAACGAAACCCCCAGGAGGGTGACCCTGTTGGCCTGGGTGCTCCAGGCTCCAGCTCCGGGGATGGGGCCAGGCCAGCTCATGCTTCACTTCCCAGCAGGGACCGTGGCTGTTTGAGGAGGAAGCTGGAGAGGAAGGTGAGGGCGGGGCTGGCCCAGCACGCAGCCTGGGTGAGGGTCCCGACCTCCCGGGCCTCGCTGCCCACCTGCTGCAGCGGCCGCTGAAGGGGTTAAAGTGTCAGGATGAGGGAGGTGCTGAGGAGCCTGGCCTGAGCATGGCAGGTGACATTTCCGGCAACTCTCAATACCCCAGATGGTGAGGCGACACTTTGTAACTGCTTACCGCAGGCACAGAGAAAAGTTGTTTTCCATCCAATCAATTGTTCATTTTTATGGCTCTGTCTGATGTCGGAAATACTAATGGATCTAACCCTTATCTGCCGGTTCCCCCGTCTCTGAGCGTGGCACCACTCCCTGTGGGCACATGGGGACGCCGGGCACTCTGGTGACATCTGTGGTCCCCACGTGGACGCAAGCGCTGGGGCCTTGGGGGCGAGGGCGTGGCCTCGGCCAGGGGGGCCCTGCCCGTGCGTGGAGCGTCCCCGACCGACCGCTGACCAGGACTGAGGAGGAGGGAGCGGGTGGGGCTGGGCACTTGCAGGTCCAAGGCACGGCCCCCACTCCACCCCGCACTGAGAAGCTCACCGCCTCCCTCCAAGAGCCCGCCCCTCACACCACGACTGGGAAAGGCCCGGAGGTGACGCCTGGGCAGGATGCAGGGAGCCCAGTGGCGTTTCCAGCCCCGAGGAACCCTGCGAGGCCTCTGGGTGCAGGTCTGAAGTCGGGTTTAAACACCCGCTCTCTGTGCTGAGACTCTTCAGCTGGGAAAAACCTGAGACCTCCTCATTCTTGGATGGAAGAAAACATTCCTGTGTTTGGACTCAAGTCAGGAAACTTCCTTGTTTTAGGACAACAGACTTTTTACCAGGAAAAAAAAAAAGGCTTTCAAATTAAAACCGCACAAAATGAGATTCATGTGAAAGCGGACTAGAAAATTCCTGGGGACACCGGGCTGCAAACAGTCTTTACGTTAGAGCCTCAGACAAGACCCTCCAGCCGCACACCGGCCTCCCACCCAGGACCCGGAGCAAACAGGGTCGGAGCTCGGGAACCCCCACCCCGGAAAGGCCCTGGTTGTCTCCGAGCCGCCAACCACCGTCCAGCCCCTGGGGTCCCTGCGTGGCTTCTCCTCACGTCACCAGACCCAACATGCTCCTGCCTGGCCTGCCAGGGCTCTCTTCACTGTCCCCCCAGGAGGGCATGGCTCCCACCCCCCACCCCACCGCCCAGGTGGCCCCACCAAAGCCCCCACCCCAGCCCTGCAGAGGTCTTCGCCCCTGGGCCCGATGGGCCAGGCCTGGCCCTGCGCTGTCTCACTGCCTGTGGAGGGGACCATGGGACCCTCTTCCCTCCCCGCACCGCAGGCCTCCTCTGTTCCTGGGGTCCTGTTGCCCCAAGGGGATCCGCAGGCTCTGACGGTCTGGCTCGTGGAGACGTCCCACCACACAGACGCCCCGGCCAGAGCCGCCCCGGGCAGCGACATGGTGTGGGAACGGGGTGGGTGGCAGGGACGCGAGGCCCACGGGCGGGACACAGACAGCGGCCCAGGACCCAGGAGCCTCTCCCAGACACCCCGAGAGGCAGGGCTGCCCGCCCACCCTCCACCAGATGGGGTCAGCTGCCCCTGGGTACAGCCCGACCCCAGGACGGGGGGACACATCACCCACCCACTGGGATCAGCGTGCTGCTCCGGGATTGAGGTCGAAGACCAAAGGTCACGATGTGACCTGCTCCCTGCGAGGTGCCCACACCCCACCTCCCAGAGCTCATGCCCTTGGGTGATCCCTCTACCCACAGCCCCCACAAAATCAGCTGTTGTTTCTTTAGTCGCTAAGTCACGTCTGACTCTTTTGGGACCCCATGGACTGTAGCACGCCAGGCTCCTCTGTCCGTGGGGTTTCCCAGGCAAGAAGACTGGAGTGGGTTGCCATTTCTTCCTCCAGGGGATATTCCTAACCCAGGGCTCAAACCCGGGTCTCCTATATTGCCAGGACACAGCAAAAATGAAGGGACTGAGGCCACGACGCCCGTTTTCCTGGAATCTCCTCCGCGGTGAGGATGGAGCTGGCCCAGGGTCACAGGCTGGCAAGCAGCCAGACGCCAGCAGCCAGCAAACTGAGTCCTGAGCCCACTGCCCCTCGGGTGGCCGGGGCACTTAGCCACTGTCCTTCCCCAGCAGGCCTCGGCCTGAGGCCCTCTCCTGCCCCAGCCCCCAGCCCTCCTAAAGCAGCAGCGGACACGCCACAGACCAGCGGCTGAGCAGCAGGAGCGTGAGCCCCCGAGCTCCAGGGAGGCCAGCGGGGTGCTGCAGCAGAGGAAGGACTCCCGGGGCAGGGGGGCCGTGCCTTTGAGGGGACCCGGGGGGCCGCCACCCTTCCTGCGCGTGGGCTCCGGAGCAGGTTGGGTCCTGCGAGCCCGTGAGCCCCCGGCCCGAGGACTCAGTGCACAGTGGGTGCAGGGAACTGGGGCTGAAGAAAGACAAGGGGCCTCATGGAGAGGTGGGGCCTGGACACTGGCTCCCCAGGATTTCCAAGACCCCGCACCCACCTCTAGTCCTCCCCCTGGGGCTGCGCTTGTTCCCCCAAACTTGTGTTGAAGACCGAACCCCCGGCACCCGGGCGTGTGGCCTGTTTGGAAACAAGGCGTCTGTGGCTGGACCTGATGAAGCTGAGGCTGCCCTGCAGGGGCCGGGTCCCCATCCCGTAGGACTGGTGTCCAGTGAAGCTGGACGATTGGAGACACACACTCGCTGGGAGACGCCATGGGGAGGGGGCAGAGCTGGTGATTCTTCCCCGAGTCCAGGCACCACAGACGCCGGCCGAGCAGCGAAGCTGGAGGGGGCGGCCGCAGAAGGAAGCCACCGCACCGACACTGTGACCTTGGACTTCCAGCCACTGGGACAGGACACCCACACTCCTCATCCTTCTGTCCAGGGAACACACACGACCTCCCGCCAGGCGCCAGCACCTGGGATTGGCTGCAGAGACGATGGGGCCGCAGACAGGCCGGGCCAGCTCAGCAGGAAGACCCTCCACCCAGCAGTCAGGGCACACGTACTCACGCTGCCGTGCAAAGAGGCCGACGGCCTAGGGGGCGGCGGGGGGGTCCAGGGCAGCAGGCGGGCCCAGGACGGGCTGCCGCCATGACCCGCTGAACCAAGAGGGACACCGGAGTGGGGAGGCCACGCAGGCGCCGACACAGGCCGGTGTGGCTGTCACAGCCCCTCCTGCCTGCCCTGGGAGCCCCGCCGGGAACATGCAGGCTGTGAAGCAGGGGTTGAGGGCAGTGTGCCCCGGCCTGTGGGTTGCGACCGTCAGTGGGTGCAGGAGCCAACGCAAGGGTAGCGGCTCTTTCTTTCAGTAAATCAGAAAATGCCGCGTGCACTTGTGCACGAGGTAAGGTCATTTCAGGAGGCTTCGTTCAGTTTCCCACAGGCGGGTCCTGTGTGCACCAGGATGAGAACTAACCTGCTTCCTGCCAGGAACCGGGTCGACGTGACTCATGCACACATCCGCATCCTTCCTGGGACGCTGGTGTGCCTGGGCCCCAAGAAGGCCCCAGAGCCTTTCACAACTGGTGGGGCCAGAGCTCTGGAGCCACACGCCATCGTCCTCCCAAGCAGTGGCACAGGGCTGACGCTGGGGCCGGGCCTCAGACCCTCCCTTGTCACAGATGCCCGCGTGCCCTGGGCAGGCGGCACCCACCTAACCCTACGCAGGACCCCAGGGCCAGCCCACTGCCCCACCCTGGGCAGCACGAGTATCCAGGGAAGGGAGCACTGCCACCAAGGTCACTGCCGGCACAGTCAAGAAAACAGGTCACAGGGTCAAGGGCGCGGCTGAGGTGTGTGTGCACGTGTGTGGAGCTGCATTCAGATGCATGTGTGCAGGCATGCAGGATGTGTGCACTGTGTGTGTGTGCTTGCATGTGAGCACATGGAGGCATGTTGGGTGTGTGCACACGTGTGTGGATGTGTACTCACATACAAGCCTGGGTGCTCATGTGAGAGTGTGCAGCCATGTGGGTTGTGTGCTCACATGTGAGCATGTGCAGGTGTGCAGGGTTTGTGCTCATGTGTGTAGATGGGTGCTTGTGTGTGCAGGCATGTGGGGTGGGTGTGTGCTCATGTGAGCATGTGCAGGTGTGCACAATGTGTGTATGCATATGTGGATGTGTGCTCACACGTGAGCATGGGTGCTCACATGAGCGTGTGCAGGGTATGTGTACACACATGTGAATGGGTGCTCACACGAGTGTGTGCAGGTGTGCAGGGTGTATGCCTGCACCGTGTCGTGCCGACTGGGAATGGAAGGTGCTGGATCTCCTCCCCGTGGACCTCGGAACAGCAGCCAGAGAGGGCCATGAGGCTGCACAGCAGTCACAGGACATGCCCACGAGGAGGGAGGACCCAGAGCTTCCACAGATCCTGCCCACGGTGCCAGGCCAGGCGCACGGCCACACGGGCTGCGGGGGCCTCCGCAGAGCCACCCAGCGGGGCGGGTGTCCAGGCGGTCACCTCTGAGCCCGACCAGGCTGCCGGCCGCCCATCTGGTGCAAGAGCGGCCGCGATGCTGCTGGCCGCCCTCTGTCCACCCTGAGCCGCTGCCACTCGATGAGGTCGGTTCAGTTAAAGCTGAACGGCCTGGCTGACCGGGTGCAGGTGAAGCACAGCGCACGCAGCCCCGCCCTCGGCCTGGGACCCAGCACCTGCTCCCACCCCAGCAGATGGGGGCCAGCACCCCCGAGCCCGGCCAGAGTCCCCCTCAGTGCCCCTCCCTGCAGGGCCGGCTGACCATCCCTGGGCTGAAGGCGTGCTGGCAACCCAGGAGGGTGGGTGGGTGGGTGGACACCTGACCCTGGCCAGCCTGGGGCTCTGCACGACAGTGTTTTGAGCGAGAACCAGAAGACGTAGAACTGTGCCCTAGTTAGACCGTTTGTTTTGCACAGAGATGAGTTAGCAACCCTGAAATTGCTCGGTGTTTATTCTAGACTTGGGCGAGCAGGCGTAATCAGAACTGCTGCATAATTTGCAGGTTCTGTACAAAATGAGAACATGGGGCCCGTGTTCAAAACTCGTTAAGAATTTCAGGATGGTATCAGCAGAGCTGTGAACAGGCCCCTCCGAGCACGGCCCTGGATAATCCCTGGAGAGTCTGGGGATGAGGCCGCAAGTCAGGCGCAGGGAGGCAGGGGGACAGGCTCCTGCCCGCCTGGGGTCCCCACATGCTCTGGGTTGTAACACAGACACATGTGTCTACACACACGTAGGCGGGGTAGACCTGGGCCCCGGTGTGTGAGGGAAGCATATCTGAGCTCTGGTCTGAGAGGCGTGGCACCCGGGTAGGCCCTGAGCCCTCCCAGAGTTCAGACTACAGATCCCAAGGGCCTTGTCCTGCAAGAAGCCTCAGGACTCCCTGGAGAAACCACTGGTTTCAGAGCCCAGACCCAGGAGGTGGCAGCGAGTGGGAGTGTCTCTTGGGGCTGCAAAGGGGGGGGGCGGGCCGGGGGAGGGACAGACCCCCCCAGAGGGCTCCCAGTGGCCACACGTGGGACAGATGACCAAGGAACCACAGTAATGACCGTGGGAATGACGACCCTCTGACGCAGCCCAGGTCGCCCCGACAGGCCCCACCCAGGCCCATGACCCCTACAGCCCCCAGGGGTCAGAGCTTCACCCCACTGGCAGGGGGCTCACACCCGTGTCCCCTAGAGCCCACGGGGGTCACAGCCTCACCCCACGGGTGTAGGACTCACAACCATGTCCCCTACAGTCCATGGAGGTCAGGGCCTCACCACACGGGTTCGGGGCCCACACCCACGCCCCCTACAGCCCCCGGGGTCAGGGCCTCACTGCATGGGTGCAGGGCTCACAGACACCAGCTGGGAAAACACACCAGACAAGGAAGAGAAGCCCAGCCCGCGTCCCGGCGGCAGAACTGCGGCTCACTAACAGAGAAGGGCCAAGGGATGCAGAGCAGCTGCTTGGCAAACACCGTAGCGATTGTGTTTCAGGTTAGAAATATCAGGGACGTAAAACCTGGGGGAAAATGACGCTGAAAAATGAGATGGTCAGCCTGCCCAAGAACCGTCAACGGGGAGGGAGGGGCTTCAAGGGGGAGGGAGGGGCCTCATAGGAAGGGCGGGGCCTCGGGGGAGGGGCTTCAGGGGAGGGAGGGGCTTCATAGGGAAGGCGGGGCCTCAGGGGAGGGAGGGGCTTCGGGGGAGGGGCTTCACGGGGAGGGCGGGGCTTCGAGTGGAGCCGAGCGAACAGTCCACGCCCCCGCCTGTGTACGCACAGACGGGAGGCCCCGGGAGGCCCTGCAGCTCCCGCATATTCCTGCGGGGCGGGCGCGTCCTCCGTAGCTGCAGGCGGCAGCGACGAGCCCTGGCTGAGAGGCTCGGTGTCCCGAGACGTGCCAAGAATGAGGAGCCGTCCCTGGGAGGAGGCCGGGAGACGTGAGAGCTGAGCACCGCAGGTGCCCCGCAGCGGGCCCTGCTCAGGGAAAGTCGATCAGACCCCCACCCCACCAGGGCGCTCCCCCAGCCCCAGGACTAGCCAGTGCCGATCCCCTGCTCCTTCAGGGGTGAGAACCCAGCCTTTGCTCACCGGCGGCCGGGAGGATGCAACCCTGGCTGGGGCCATGTCCCCCTCGGAGGGACTGAGAGGGCCTCCCCAGGGACCCCCGAGGCCACCCCGACTCCGTCTCATCACCGCTCCCCGCAGCGGAGCCCTGAGCTGTGGGGCCTCTGAGGGCCACCAGCCCGGCCCCCAGCTGCCCAGCCCAGCCCCTGGGTCATGTGACACCCTCCCTATGGGGAGGGGGGAGCAGGAGGCAAGGGCGCCTGGGGGGCGGGGGACCCGGTGACGCCCTGCGGCTGTTGGCTCTGCAGCACGAGGGTTCCAGCACCCCCTCGGGTCCAGTAACTCAGGGGCTCCCCGCAGTGCAGGGGCCACAGATCCAGGGCCCGAGACCAGGAGGCGTCCTGCACAGTGACAACATGCCCGGGCGCCCAGCCCGAGCCCCAGACCAGGGTTTTTCTGGGTGTCAGCACGTGGCCCCGGAAGCACAAATTGCTTTCATCAGGGGGACATTCCAGGCCTTGGAGTCGGGGGCAGATGGCCAGACCTCACCAGGGCCGGGCAGGCTGTGCCGTGGATGTCTGCTGAGACACTGCCCCACAGAGACCACGGCGGCGTGGACGGTCCTGTCAGGTTCCCCGCTAATTCAAGTGGGGACAAGGGACTGGCCCCTGGGGCTTCTGACCTTCTGGAGGAAAGACAGCAAAATCTGAGAAATTTGGCTCCACACGAGAAGGAGGGGCCTTGAGTCAGCTTCCAGGGAAGCCAAACTTGAGGTCAGGTTAAGAGAGAGGTGAAAATGGGGGGCCACCAGGGAAGAATTGGAAAGCCTCAGCTCTCAACTCAGCCTGGAAAGAGAGACTTAGAGAAAGCTAACCGTTCAGAACGAGGCGACCGGGCGGCCAGCGGAGGGGACGGGAGACGCCTGGTGGGGCGTCCAGCTGCGAGTGGCAGCACAGCGCGGCCTCGGAAGCCCAGCAGGGGAGCGTGGCCGCAGAAAGCAGGAAGGCCGCCCGGCGGGGGTGGCGCGAGGCTCCCAGGCGCTCTCTCTGCGCGCAGGGTCTCCCTTCGCTGGCAGGCCCGACACAGAACCAGGAGCTTCTGGAGGCCCAGGCCCCGCCTGAGGTTGTGTGGTTGAGTGCCAGCTTGGATGGAGGTGTGACCGGGCGACATGTCTGGGGACAGTGTCACACAGATGCAGTTTATTCAGACAGTTGTGTTTATTTCACGAGCAGACTGTCTCCTGCTCCAAGTTCTGAATGTTGTATGAAAGGGTCGAAGTAAACGTTTATGTCCCGTCCCCTGCACGCACGCACACACGCTCACACACACACTCACAGACACACACACGCTGAACCCCGATATCACTGGAGCCTTGAAGTCCGTTGAGCGAGGGCTGCACCCTCTCTGTGACAAGATGCGGATGAGGACCCGACCTGACCAGCCCGAGGGAGCGCCCTGCTCCCGGCTTTAACGGGCGCAGCACGAGCCGGCCCGGCCTTGGGCAGCGGAGAAGCCAGGCAGGGATGCTGTGCAGGACCACGCCCAGCCCGCCCCCGGAGCCCGGCCCCAGCTGCCAGGCAGGCCTCACTGTGCTGCCAGGCCCTGAGCTCAGGCCACCCCTTCTCCGTCGGGGGTCTCACACACGGGGATGCCACCGTGCCACCCATGCTTGCCGGGGCCGCTCCCCTCCACTGACGCCCCGGGACCTGTTGCTTCCGCTCCCGGGGCAAGGCGCGTGTGGCCCCTCCTGTGCCTTGCAGGGCTGTGGGCAGACGGGAGACCCACAGGCCCTGTGGCCTGCGCCTGCCAGCTCTGAGGGTCCAGCACCTCAGCAAGTCCTCAGACGCCCCCTCCCACCTTTGCCTTCCTCGTGGGCCTGCCTGGCCTCCACCGCCCAACCCTTTGCACACCAGGTGGGGATGGGGTCGGCGGGCAGCACAAGAGCCACATGGACGGCTCGGGGTGCGCGGCTCGGGGTGGGCGGCTCGGGGTGGGTGGGCACCCGGGCTGCCGCCCCAGGCACCTCTGGCTTCTACTTCCTCGTCAGCGTGTTGCTTGTGTCTGGGGCGGTTGTGGGTGTTGAGCTTGTTTATGCACACCCACGTCCCGGGGACGGCGTTGCTGGACACACACCGTTTCAGCCCAGGCCGCACCTGTCCGGGCCCCCCGCCTCTCTGCACTCAAGCCCAGCTCCCCGCGCACCGGGCGGATGCCGTCTGCCCCTGCGGCCAGCTGCGGGGCCGCCGTGCCCTCTCCCGGGCGGGCTCTGCACCCCTGTGGCAGACTTTCCCCAAGGAAGGTCGGGGCTGCGATATGGGTCTTGATCAGTCAGGGGGGTGGTTAAACAGCAACCAGACGCAGGCCTGGAGCCCAGACAGAATGCTGGAGCCCGGACAGAATGCTGGAGCCCGGACAGAATGCTGGAGCCGGGACAGAATGCTGGAGCCCGGACAGAATGCTGGAGCCGGGACAGAATGCTGGAGCCGGGACAGAATGCTGGAGCCCGGACAGAATGCTGGAGCCCGGACAGAATGCTGGAGCCGGGACAGAATGCTGGAGCCCGGACAGAATGCTGGAGCCGGGACAGAATGCTGGAGCCCGGACAGAATGCTGGAGCCCGGACAGAATGCTAGAGCCTGGACAGAATGCTGGAGCCCGGGGAGGCAGGCAGGGCACCAGACGCGCCACCTCCAAGTGGCCTCTTCTGCTTCCCCCTCAAACTTCTCGGCCTTCAAAAGCCGCTGGGCTCCCCTCACGTTCCAGGGAGGAGAATCTATTATTTGTTCAAAATTAGGTTGTCAGTACTGACCCGGGGCATGTGAGCCACTCTCCAGGGGGCCCGCCTGGCTGTTTGTGTGATAATAACAGCTTAGCGCACTGAGGCTGAAGCCTGTCATCTCATCAATCGTCCTCCTGGGAAGCTGTTCCCTCGATGAGGG